TTTCTCTTTCATAACTTATACATGCTTTGTAAAGGGCAGTAGAAGTACTGAGAACTGAAGTAAAACTAACACCGTCATGCTGTAGAAATACTGTGTTAAAGGTAAAAAGGCATGTATTTAGGATTTTTTTATTCAAGTTAAAGTACTCTTGGTGCAGAATGCTGTATGTTATTTCATTTGATTCTAGCTATTGATGTTCTCTTTACTGCATTTCCACTTGGAAATCAGTAAAAGTTCATCCTCATCAAGTCATATTACAACATAAATAATGTGTTGATTATTTTTTGCATTACTAATCTGAATATGCAAAAGTAAGAAACAACTAAAGCAATCAAATAAATGCAGTGGAGGAAGATACTCAGTAGAAGCATAAAGTGGCTGAAAATAGTCATACTGAAGTACGAGTACCTCAGATTTCAGTGCAGTATTTGAATACTTCACTTCTGCTCTCTCCCTGTCAGGTGCTGTTTTATCCCTTTCTTCATTAATGGCCTGTGGAACGTCCACCACCGGTGTCCTCGCTGTCAGGAGCACATACACATCCACCGGCCGCTGTGACGCTTTCATTACTGGAACAACAAAAAGAGGGCACGAGTAAATCTCTTAAGACTTTTACTTAAATGATGGATTGTGCAGAGAGCTCCGTCTTTGTTCAGAAACGAGCATTTCAGCACTTTCAGCCGTGATTCTGCACCTTAACTTGGACGTCACGGTCGTCTAGCTCTGTTTGTGATGTTGCTGTAAATACTCTCTGTGAAAGTCGGTCAACAATGCAGCTCTGCATCAGTTTGCTTTCTGAAGAAAATACGTTTAACGGCCTGGATATCTGCTGATTTGGTTATTCAAACTACTGCTCATTTAAATAACTTGACTGGTTCTTGTTGGTTCATGTCAGAGGCTAATAATTAATAACACTGTGACACATTAATGACACATTTTCCATCATATAAACTTCAATGCTTGTTGTTTTTATTCATTTGCAGGTGTTGCCATTGGCTTGGTCGAAACTTCTGTTGCTGTAAATAGTTCAATTAGAAGTAAATGAGCTGATCTTCAAAAAGTTAAAGATCAGCGGTTCTTTTCAACATTTTAAGCGGGATTAGTGTTTATTTTGTACAGTTTTACTGTGGATGAAATGAGAGTCCCAAAAAGATTCGAGCTCTCAGATAACTTTCACTAAGCTTTAAAAAATACTCCTCAAACCTTGTCCCAGCAATCAGCAGCCTCGAGCTTCTCAGACTAGCTGCTAGCATCTGAAAGTTAAAATTATGCCCACAAAACAGGAGAAGACTTTAAAAAGATTGCAAAGAATTATCAAGTAGCTTTTGAGCGATGTCAGTTAACAGGAATAGTGGAAGACAGAGGAGACTTAGTGAATGGACTGCCAGAAAGGTGAATCAAAACCTCTGTTTACCTGGAAAACATCTTCTGAAGACTTCTCTGGAGTGTTTGTGCAGGCGTCTCTGCTCTGTTCTTTAGCGCCAAAAACTTTGCATATGAACATGCAAATAAGCCCAAGTCCTGAGAACTGATGGAGCTACAATATAACTTTTTTGCAACAGAAAGCAAAAGTTTGCTTGGAGAAAAAATGGACCAGAATTTTTTGTAAAGTAATAATTGGAGTTTTTTTCCCCCAAGTTCTTTGCTTCTTTAACCCTATTCAGGAGTTTCATGTTGCCATATGTAGAAGGTCTTTCGGGATCCACTGGACCCCAAGAAAGAATATGTGCAAAATATTTGTTGGTGTTCATTACAGACTTTTATACTATGTTAAATACATTTTCTGATAAGTTGACGTGTTTTTGGTTCCAAATGCACGACAAATGTCCCTCTTTTTATCTTAAAAATAAATAAAGAAATAAATAAACAATACCTGTCACCTAAACCAAATGGCCTGGAGTCCAAACGACCCCAAAAGTCCTGAGCAGGGTGAATATTCTATGTTGCAAATAAATGCTAGTTGTAAACACTGAGTGGGACGTATCCCTGCATTTGCCGACACCAACTTAACATTTATTTTTGTAAGATGTCCAAAAAGGTTCATTTAATCTGTAACGGTGTGTTGTATTTTAAAAGTTTGTTCTGTTATACGTTATGTAAAATCTTCATCTTACTCTCTGGTCATTGATTAAATCCCTAAACACTCATTTGTATGTTAAGGTTACACATTAATGAAGATGAGTCAGTCGTGCCTAAACATGACCAACTACTGTTGCTTCCTCTGGAGTGTGCAGATCTATCAAGTCTCTGGCTCTCTCTCCAAGCACCCATCCCTTCTCGCTGCAGCTCGAGCACACCAGCTCGATGGCAATGGGAAGTAATGCTATCAAAGGCAGCCATGCATGTTCTGATTTTGAAGAAGAATAAAGATAGAGAACGCCTCACCCTGCAGGACTGATGATTCAGGTTTAAGTTTGAAACTAAAAATCCATGGCAGCTACTGCTTATTTATCTGATGGTGTGTCTTCAAGCATATATAAACACCATATGGATACGTTAACAAGGTAAACAAACGTATTTTTTTTGTTTAGTTTCTTTTTAAATCAGAGCAGGTCCTTAAAAGTAACTAAAGCTGCAGAATAAACAGAGTAGAAAGGGCAAGATATTAAACATATGAGCAAATGTGAATGTACTGAGAGCATTGTATTTGTTCTACAATAAAATGAATCCTTTGGAATACAATTTGCCTAAATATTGTGTACTCAGTATCAAGATAAAGACTTCTATGCTGCAAGTATTACATCAATGATCCCCTGACTTCCATGGCAGTAGGAAAATACGTTTATCAGGATCTATTATCTCAACGAATATGTAAATATGCAACCACAGATGGCCCCATTTTCACACACTGCAGCCACAACATTGTTTAGTGTTTTCCTTCGTTGTCCTGGTTCTACGCTCGCGTCAGTTATTTGAAATGTTGAAATGAATTCACTCTGCGGCGGCTTACTCACAGTACACCAAATTTTATTGACACATAAAAGCATACAGTACTTATATACATCTTTTTGAGTATTTACAAAATAGAGAGCCCAATGGATGTTACACATGTATAAAAATATGCATTACATCTATATAAATATGTACACAATGTGCAAAACATATGGCGTTACAAACGACAAGAGGCATGGCATGGGTGGCGGAGACAGAGAGGAGCAACAGAAATCCTTCACTGTGAAACCGGCTGACGGAGGGGTGCGGAGACTCGAGAGGTTCCATCTCAAGCTCCGTCACCACAAAAATAAAAAATAAACAACGCTCACAGGATGATAAGCGGTGAACGAGGAGAGCTGGAATCAATAGCAGGAAGCCTGAGCCGACAGAACCTGTAGAGTTCCTCAGACTGATGCTGCTTCCACAAAACGCACATAAGAGGGTTTTTTTTTTTATTTGTTTTAAACAAACCTCCCCCCCTCCTCCCACTGAACCACTCGGATATGAAGTGCTCTTAAACTGTATTACTCTGTGGTAAAGGCTCTTATGTTAATAAAATCAAGGCAGGAGCTGACATACAGTACAGTACATCACGGGAGAGCAGCCGTTATTGCTTCTAGCCGTCCTTGTCTTGCCGCTCGGCTGCCAACGATGGCGAGCGGCGGCGAGCGTAAATCACACGTGTCGATTTACCGCAGTTGTAAGATTTGTGTACGTCTGATATGGAATATAAAACAAGGAGGGAAAAAAAAACAAACTCTGCAACCCAAAATATACACATGAAGTCTTCTTTTACAGATTTACCATGAAAACAGGATTCAATTTGAATTTAAATCCTTAAAAAACAGAAGAAGAGATAAATATATATATATAAACATGTATGTATATAAAAATGTGACAGAATTAACAAAACTCAAAAACATGTTCCACTGCCGTTTTTGGCGAACAAAAATCAAATGTGACAGCCTTAAAGCCGACACCCCGAAGAGGAAAAACTCATCATCTAAGAGACGTGAACTTTCACGGTTCATCCAACACGATACTAAACATGTCGCAAAGTGGAAACAAAGGAATACATCCAGATTTGCAAGCAGGTCCGAGACGAACCAGATGCGAGCAGGAGACTGAGGTCATCTCTTGACAGGACTTAAAGGTGGAGTAAGAGATTCAAATCTTTACGTCAAATTGAGCGAATGTCTCCTCACAGTCTGCTAAGAAATCTTACACAGCTTTAGCTCTCGGAATTGAGAAACGAAAATAAGTGGTTCTAAGAGATGGACGCTAAACTATTCTAGTCCAACCAGCTCGTCTGTGCTCGTGTACAGGGCGTCCCTACGACTTCCTGCACATCTTTCCAAAGGATAAGATGATCGTCATTGACTATACAGTCAAATAAAACTGGAAAATATTAAAGTTGGAGGCAAAAAAACTTGATGGGAACGTCGCGACTAAAGTCAGTTTTCAATGGCTTTTAGTTGCTCCTATTAGTTGTTACGTTCCTAGTCATACAACTAGTTTTAGAAGTTATCCTGGTTTCTGTCTGGCTTTTTAGTATTTTAGATTGTTTGATTTTGCTTCACACATTAATTTTACAAGTTTTTATGCTGTTTTGTCTCATTTTTTGCACATAAGTTTGTCATTGTCCTACAACATGAACCCTGTTTTTAATTAAAACTACATAAACTATGTAAATAAATATCATTTTTAAATCTCTATTTAGCAAGAAGGTTTTGTTCTTTTGTTTCTGCACCACTGTGCTCTGCTTCTTCGCTTATGGACACGGACCAAGACGCCCGACCTCTAGGAGAGGATGGTTTCTAGAGCTGACTCTAGGAGGGTAAAACCGGTTTAAACAAACTCTCGCTTGGTTTTGTTCTGTTGTGTTTTAGATGGTCTTTGTGCGCTTAGAAGTCGTTTATTCAATGACGTTTTTCAGATACACCCCCTTCACGAGGATCAACAGACTTTCTCGAGAACGGCTTACTCCATCTTTAACACGGGCTTGTAGAAAACAACTGAAACACTAAACGCAGCACCAGAAGCCCAGAAGAAAGCGTGTGCAGACAGTATTTGGCATTTCAGGTGGTCAGACATGTTGGACTGGAGCACATCCATGTGTCTCGGCCTGATCGGATGACAAATGTGTGACTGCAGCAACGTTGACAAGACACTGTAAAGGGCTCTCATCAGCTCTCCACGTTATTGCTGACAGAAAAATCAGCATTATACAGACAGAAGATACATTTCTTTAAAATGCAAAAAACAAACAAAAAAACCCCAGCCTTATTTCTTTTCTTTTTTTTTTTTGCTGATAGAAATGACCCTGAAGTTGCTGTTGAAAATGTGCCGTGAAGAGACAAGAGAAGAGCGCCGACGCCCTCTAGTGCCCGTGGACGTAATAACAGGATCGAGTGGTTTAAATGTAAACTTGATTTCACAGAAAATTTCACTGACCGATATAAAAAAAAAAAAAGGACAAAGGGTTTATTTCAAAGTGCCATACAAACTGTATCAGTCCCCAAAGAATAAATAGACTGAGATGCTAAATCAGTAACTCAACATTTAGGTGTGAACAGCAACTATTTAAAATCAAATTTAAAAAGAAAGTAAATTAAACAGCCCTCTTCACCAGCTCCTCATTGTGCGTCGCGCCTCAAAAGTGTCCGTGTGTTTCCGACACAAACCGAACAAGACGTAAAAATAAAAAACACTAAAACAGTCATCAGAGGCCTTCTGAAGAGTCAAATTTGGAATATGCCGAGTGGTTAGCAAATGATTTGATTTGATATTCTTCAGACAACTTTAGAGAAAGAGCTTGAAACAGCCAGAGATTAAACGTGAGTACAATCATGCACACGGAGACACAGATGTACATGCAAGAGACGGGAAGACGGATCCACGCGTACGCAACATGCTGGCTTCTCTCACACGCAGTCAGGAAGCTAACTTTGTCTACAGGCCACAGTAGCTGATGCAGCATCGGCTATTTCACCAGCCGGATATTACTTTAGAATATGCTGATTCCTCCCAAGGGTCGGTTGGTTGATAAAGGGCTCGTAAAGCAAACTAACTGATCAGCTGCAGGCAATTTTTAACTAGCACGTTTGCAGGCTAGCGATGCAGTTATTTCCCATCCTGACACACACACACGCACGCACACACACGGACAAAGTGCAGGGATAGTGTAGGACAGCTAGATATAAAGCTCGTCGAAGACATCTTTATTCCTTGATATAACCAGCAGCACAGCTATTATGGATGTGTGTCTGCATAAACTGATACTTGTTCCCTTTCCACTGTTTTATGTCAGTTTACTCATCAGAGGAAAAAAAAAGCTGCCAACTTTTTTTAAGTCCTATTTTTTTGTTTTTTCTTTAGATATTTTTTAAAAGTACATTCAAAATAAGAGACTCGGAAAGCTGCAGTATCTCCAGAGGTGGCAACGTGATCCGTACGCCCATCACTTTGGATATGCAGTGTTCACATTTCCTTGTTCTGAGGTGGATGAGGCTCATCGTCTGATCTCTCGGCCTCTTTAGTGCATAGCTCTCACATTGATGGAGGAGCTCCCTCCTCTCGTCGAATCTTTTTTTAGAGTCATTGGTTGTTCAGCTTTGACCGGGGCGGTCACGATAAGTCAGGAGAAAACAGTCACGTCTGATACAATCGGATCAGATTAGTCAGCAAACATGTCATCCACAGTTAAGTGGAACCAGTGTGAACAGAGGCTTGACCTGCTCTCATCTAGGAATCCCTTTACAACTTGGCTTAGTGACTGACTGACTTACTGAGGACGTCTGGCTTCGGATCAAGAAGCAGCAGATGGACACGACTGTCCAGCACCTCAGACGGATCGAGGTGACTTCTCAAAGCACTTAGACTGGTTTAGTCTAAGCTGTCCCAGGTGGTCAGTACTGACATCCTAAAGCGCTGATGATCCCAGGGCAAGCCTCAAACGTCTCTTTATCGAGAATCGAATCTCTTTTCAATTGCTAATTACAGCCATTAGAAATATCGTTTAGAGTGACAGTTCTGTTGTAACCACCAGCTTTTGTAACCTCATATGGCACAGTATGCTTCAGTGGATCCAAGGCCTTCTCATCAGACCACCTCCAGAAACCCTTTTACACATTCAGCCACTGTGCTCAGGCAGTAAAATGGACACAGTTTCATCTATTAGTGTGGCTTAAACTGTATTTACAAACAGTCCGTTCTCGCAGTCTGATTTTGGCTCTGTCTCCTTGGCTCCGTAAATGATCCTTAAAATCGTGACATCAGATGCCAAAAAGCTGTCTAAAATCCCTTTATCACAAATACGACGAGTGACCACGATCACCTTAGTGCGGACGTTTTCCTGGCTATAACAGGCCCTCTTTTAAAGCTGTGCAAACTCCTACTTGTGGTTCCTCTAGAATCAGCCTGCACAGCGTCTCCTCCTGGAGAGTGGTGGGAATATTACAGATGGTGTGGATGCACTGATTGAAGAGTGATATGGCACAGAGATGCCATGCTCTCTATTCCTTTATTTAAAATGTGGTAACCCAACCTCTTTGCAGCTGCCACTCCCTTCCCTTTCCTCTTCATCCCTCGACTCCTGGCTCAGCTGCTCTTCAAACTCTCCTCCGTCTTTCTTATCCAACCCTCCGTCAGTCCCAGTGCAGCTGCAGGTCGTGTGTGTCCAGGAAGTCCGTCGGGATCCCCAGCGGTGTCAGCACCCCGGCAGAACCCGGAGGCATGGTGAGGTCCAGCCACTCCATGTTGTCCAGGGCCGGGTCAGACAGGCCCATGTTGAGCGAGGATGGAGGCGAGGAGGAGTCGCAGAAGGACAGGTCGGACGTGTCCATGGGCGAGTAGGGCTGCTGGTCCATTAGCTGGGCCTGCAGCTCCTCCATCAGGCCCTGAGTGCGTGGGTCCGACGCTGGCGACGTGTCAGCCAGAGTCCCCTCCAGAAAGGCCTCCAGTTGATTGTCTGTGGCCAGAGAGGAGAGGCTGGGCAAGGTGGGGTTGATGATGGAGCTCAGCGTGGGAGGGGGGGCCACCTGGATCTGTGGAGGAGGTCTGGACAGAACGGTGTTGACTGGAAGAGTGGTGATGTTGGCTGTGACTGGGAGGGTCTTGGTGAGAGGCACTGGAGGGTCCTGCTGGATAAATGGAGTGATTTCTGGAAGAAAGTATAAAGAATGTGGAATAAATACATGGATTAGGATTACAGATCAACCAATGAAGACAGCTGTAGTTTGTTTAGGTCAGGGGTTGGCAACCCACGGCTCCAGAGCAGCATGTGGCTCTTTCATACCTCTGCTGCGGCTCCTTGTGGCTTTGGAAAATAAAGAATGAGTTTTTAATCTAAACGTATTTTATTTTAGTTTGTTAGTTTTTAAAATGTAATTCTAAATTTGAAGATTATGGTGATCTTGTAACATTAAAAATAAAACGTGTTTATTTTTTGTCGCTTAAAATATGCGTCACAACCGTCAAATCTAGCGACTCTTTCTGGTGTTATTGGAGACTCTGACGTGAAAACATGTATCGTTCTGCAGTTACTGTCCTCAGCAAGCAGCAGGTGCTGCCGTGAGCTCCTCCCTGTCCCAAAGCGCTCACAGACTGTCAGCAGTCTGGTCAGCAGTCCCAGCTGCAGTCTGCAGGACAACCACAAGTCATTTTTACTTTGCTGCAGGTGGATACTCTACGTTCCTCTTTCTATTTCATATATACGAGGACTCAAATAGACATTGAGTATTTTATTTGACAGCAATCTTCAACCCAGTGTCATTTTTTTTCGGAGTTCAAAATGTTTTTGTTGCATGTACACAAATACAATTTTGTTTTCTCTGCAGCAGTTCATTGATTTCAGAAATGCAACACACTATCGTTTTTTTACACATAGTATAAAGGCATAAAACGATACATGCGGTATTATCTTCGTTTTAGATCTAAAAAGGTTTTGTGGCTCCCAGTGTTTTCTGGTCCAAATGGGTTGCCGACCCCTGGTCTAGACCTTAGTTTGTCCATAGCAGCACACTAAAACATCAAAGCTCACCACTATGTTCATGTTACTATTGGATACCGCTGCTTTTAGGAATAAACGTCATTTTGTATTGCATCCATTTCTTGGCCTTGTTTTACCCTCTCTGCTAGTGTAATAACTAGCTTTCACTAACCCAAACTGCAACAAGTACAGCACAGGTGTTCCAGCCAATTCTTTGTAAATAAAGCATAATTTCTCTCTTTTTTAATCAAATCTGGTAACTAGTGATGACAATCACAGAGTAACTCACGATTCTATCACTATAAGTTGTACACAATAACAACGCTAACACAACACAGGGATTCTGCAACACTCTAGACACTGCAAGACAATCTATGATACAACAATATCCCATAAAAGACAAGAAGCAAGAATTAAGAAAATGCAAAACAACATATTTTTAATTATTTTGTCCCGCCCCTCCTGTTAACATTTATGTAATCGGACTGACAACACTGCCCACACAGCAGCAGCCTCAGTGTGTTCCTGAGAATGTTTTAAACCTGCTCATACTGTCACTGTGCACAGACTTACCTCCGCTCTCTATAAGGATGTCGAACAAGTCATCCATTTGCTGACTGGTTGCCGTGGGAACCTGAAAAGACATTCACAGACATGAAGAGACTTGAGGCTTATTCACCAAAAGCAAAATAACTCCTCAAGGCTGAAAAACGGGAAATAGATTTGTATGGTTTTATGCTTCTTGTGCACTCTGAAGGACGAAGCAGCTGAAACCTTCTGATGAATGTGGAGCCTGGTTGGATTGGTGCCTAGTGGGGCTTCAGCTGTGACTTTAGTGAAACTAACCTGTGAAACATTGTTGATGTGCATGTTGCGGCTCTGTTTGATGGCCTCCTCGTAACGTGGAGGCTCTCTTGTCTTGGGAGGCTGAGCGACCAGGGAGGCGGGCTGCAGTATGAAGGTGGGCTGAGGAGAGGGAGACTGGGAGGATGAAGCGGAGAGAGAATCAACAACTAAACTATATGAAACTAAACATGTCAAGTTCAGAGAATTGTTACAACAAAGTAGTATATCGTCTCAACAAACATCGAGGACATAAAGCTCCTCCCTTCAGTAATAATACCTTATTTAGGGGTCCGTTGGAGATGTGGTGGTGGTGGTTGGGTGAAGCCCGCGGAGAGACTCGGTTGTCTGGGGAGCTCCTCAGGAAACACTGGGGATTCAACTCAGGTCTATTCTGGTTCTCCAAACCAGTAGTGTTATTGCACATAGTCAAAGTCTGTTAAGATAAAAGACGGAGTCAAACATCAGACCGTCATGCATCACAGGCTTCACATCAGAACAACTACCAAGATATAACACAAAACCCACTCAAAAATAAAAATAATTAACTATGCATGACCACATTTGTCAGAAATATAGTTTTAACAGACAAAAATATTTGCTGCTGTGTTTTAAAAGGTGGAACTCACACTGCTTGGCAAACACACGTCTTTGTAGCTTCTGTGTGGAGCCATAGAGCACAACTGCTCACCAGAATACACCTATCTGTTTGGAGTGACTGACCTGTAGCAGCGGCTGCTGGCTGGGTGCCATCTCCATCTTAGTGGTCTGCAGCTGAGGAACTGTAGCCTGGACCAGGCCTGGATTTGAGACTGTGGCCTGGAGAACAGGCTGAGAGGGTGAAAAAAAGAGAGTTAATAGGACAATAACTTTGCAGTACATTCCCAAGTTTACAGATTCAGTTTTACTGTGGTTGGTCTTGTCATTATTAAAATCTACATAAACCTGTCTGTAAAGACTCTCAGTCGTTCAGGTCATCCTCAGTGCATCAGCAGAAGGTAAGTAGCAGAAGTCAGGCAGTTTCATGACCATTAACACTCTAAGTCATGGGAGTCTTGGGATGTTAACGGGCTGTGAACCCAACTTGGGGCTGAGAATTAACACCTGTACTCCCCATCAGTCAGTCAGAACAGAGGAAGCCTCTTGGATGAGAGGTGCAACATCTTCAAGAACCAAAAACAGGAGTCCAGTCGCCTTCTACTGAAGCACTTAGGAACGCTAAGATGAGTTTGTTAATAGTCGACATAAAGCTCATAAAGCAGGTCAACATGCTCTTACAGTTTGAACCAGACATTGTGTTCTGTCACTCTGCTCCTACCTGCAGGCTGACAGTGGTGCTTGGCAGCTGGATTGCAGTAGCGTTGTTGGGCAGGGACACTGGGAGGAGGATCTGAGTTCCAGCCTGGCCAGTGGTGGTCAGCAGGGTCTGAGGCTGCCCAGATGTGGTTAGCAGGGTCTGAGGCTGACCCAGCACCTGGGAGACTCCACCTGCATGGCTGATGAAGAACTGCTGCAGGCTGGGGGCTGCGGGTTGCGCCTGAGGCTTGGTCTGCAGTTTGGGACTTTTCTGGGGTTGGGACAGGAGCTGAGGGCTGGGGGTTACTTGAGGCTGGGCTTGGGACTGGATCTGGGTGATTAGCTGGGTTTGGGTCTGGAGCTGGAGGGGCTTGCCAGAAGAAACAGTCACATCCTCCAACTTCACCACTGTTGGCAGGGGGGCTGTGAGTGCCTGGGAGGCCAGGATTGAGTTTGGAATGGCAGCAGCGGTGGATGAACAGTTTGACAGGACTGTACCCTCCATCTTGACTACATTTGAATTGAGGACAGCAGGAAGAGAGTTAATGGAAGGAACAGATGTGAGCTGGGGAGGTACAGAGATAGAGTCGGCAGGGCTGCCACCCTGACATCTTTTCTCCACCTCTAACTGCATCTTCAGCTCCTCCACCAACTTCTGCTCCTGTTCCAGCTTCCTCATCAACTCTTCTATCTGCCGCTCCTTCTCATGGAGCCTTCTGTCCTTTTCTTCTGGGACGCGAAAAGGCAGCAGTGGGGAGGACCGTGGTCCTATCGAACCAGAGCTCATCATTTGAATCTCAGATAGAGCCTCGGACATACCTATGTCCTGCTGGAGGATGGCGGGCTCAGGAGGAATGGGTGAGACCGGCGGCGTGGAGCTCATATTCTCTGGAGCCACCTGCTGGACTGGAAGGACTACGGCAGGGGCGGAAGTTGTGGTGACCTCCATGGGGATGGCTGAGAAGGTGGTAGTGGCAGGAGCAGGAATGGTGGTAGGAGCAGTGGTGCTGGGATTGTCTTGGAAAGGCTTCAGTCTTTCTATCAGATCGGTCTTTGTTCCCGACACTGGGAGCCCACGCAGCTTGAGCTCCAGCTTTAGCTCAGCCACCTAGAAAGACATAAATATGACCACGTCAGCATCGATTTTAAACTGTTGCTAAAGGAGGAATGCTGCAGATTTTATGGGAATGGTTCACCATTTTTGGACGTAAGCTCACATTCATGCCAAGAAAAAGACAAAATGATTAATACAGCTTTCATATCTGTTGGCTGAATATGTAGCTGGAGCCAGCAGATGAATAGCTGAGTGTATAGATTAGAAAAAAAAAGGGCGGGGGGACGGCAAGCCTGGCTCTGATCAAAGGGAGGAAAATCTGCTTACCAGCACTTCTAAAGCCTACTAATTAGTCTTTTCACTGGTTACCTGGTTTTCTATTGATTTTCAAATCCTTTTATTAGTTGATAAAGCACTACACGGCTTTGAACCAGACGACCTCCCTGAAACGCTATTGGTAACAGAAGGCCTCTCCAGTTCTTCTCTTTTAGCTGCTCCACAAAGCAGAACAAAAACATTTGGTGATGCTGCTTCCAGCCTTTAAGCTGCTCCAGATGATGTGAGAGGAGCTGAAAATATAAATATCTTTAAACAGGAACTAAGAAAGCCATCTATTCAGTCTGGCTTTTATGCTGTAGTTTTATGATTTATACTTAGGTCTTCTCATCATTATTTTAAACTTTTGTTTTACAATCATATTTTATTTTATGTGACATTTTAAAATGTATTTTTTATTGCTTCCATTATCTTATTTTTATCCTATCTTTTATTATCCTAATTACACATGCCTTATTTTGTCTTTTTTCATTTGTTTGTGTCTCTAAAATCACATTTTCAATATGTTTTGTCAGCCGGTTTAAAATACTCTGAACTGCAGCTGATTTGTTTGAAATGTGCAATATAAACAATGTTTGATTGATTGTCTTGTGTGATTAATCTATAGAATAACCCACCATTAAACCACAACCTAATGTTTTTACATTTCAATTTTGCACAGACTAAACAAATTAGTTGTAACATATTAATTGCTTGGCTTTAGAAATTCTGGCAGGCAGATTTCTTTTCCAGTCTTTATGCTAAGCTAAGTGGCTTTGGGCTGTGGTTTCACATTTACCATAAACATGCATCAATCCTCACAGCTATCTCTGTGCAATAAAGCGAAAAGCTGCATTTTCTAGTATATCTAAACATTCCTTTAGGAGCTGCTGTTATCTGATGTTTACAAATGTACAGCTGGGTAGAAGGAATCTTTTAGCTTTAAGACAGGAAACTGATACAAAGCTCCATGTTTCCATAGTTGTATTAGCATTTGTGTTTTTTTTGCAAAATGGGAGCCATAATCAATTTTTCTAAATGATTTATTAAAGTACAACAAAGCTAGTTCATGTTAAGTGAAGTTTTCAAAAAAAAATGTTGCCTTCAAATGACTTAAATGTAACTCCACACTGTTGCTTCCTTAAGAATGTGCAGATCTGTGATGTGACGTCTTTGCTTTTCTCTGCATCCATCACCAGCTGACCTATGACTCCTCTCAAACCCTGTAACAGTTCGTGTCCGCAGGGGCATTTTTTGACAAGGGGGGTTGCTGCTTCCCGGCATGGGACACTTCATGAGCGTCAACAAGGAAGTATCTTGACAGAGGCTTCTCTTCAACAGGAAAACAACACAGGATTCCCCGTCCTTCACTTGTGAGCTTCCTGCTCCTGGATTTCACACCAGACCAATATAGGCTCGCTTGGCAGTTTTTGCTTATATTATGAAAGCGGTTCACTAAAATGTGTTTCTGAAAACATCTGAGGTGAGAAATAGGCCACGCAGTTGCTCAATCTTTCTTCATTTTAGATCGACAATTCATTTCCTGAGTTTTCAGATGTGTCAAGTAGTGGCTGGACCTCCTGATTTGAACAAAGTAGCCAAGATATCGATAAAGAGTAAGCAACGCGATGCTCTGTGTTTCAAAATGCACTGCAGGGCTGCTTACATACACAATCAATGGGAAGTGACAGATCCTGTGGACACCATAATACAACTCTACACAATAGCAAGCTGTAATGTTGGAGTAAACCAGTCAAAACTATAATGACACAAAAATTCCCACCCTGTGAGCTGGGTCCTTATGTTTGTTACGTATGAGACTCTGGCTGTCTGAAACCATGTTTTGGATACTGTCACTGGTACACTGTGGCTTCTAAGTGGAAATGCCCCAACATGGCATTGACTGCTTATTTCACTCCTGATGTGTGATGTAGAAAAACACCATATGTGCATGATAAAAAGAGTTAATAAAACGTGATTTTTACTGGTGGGGGTTTTCAACAGTGATTTTTTCAACTACTAGGGATTGCTTTTCTAAGCAAAAAAAGGTGAAGGGTTTTCCAGCACAAAGGGATTTCCAAATACCTTCATCTCCTCCAGGTTGGCAGGCAAGACTCCTGGCTTGCGGTTGGATAGCGAGTTGTTTGGCCGAGTTGGAGCTGGAGGCAGCGGGGGAGGTGGAGGTGCCGTGGGCAAAGACACCACAATAGAAGTTGGCAGGGTGCCGGCGCTGTTGCTCTGACCCTCCGCCACAGGTCTACAGCGAGAACAAGACAAAGAGAGTTGAGGTCATTGTTTTGTGAGGAAATCGTTTCCACCACTTCTGCATTACCGGAATACGAAACAGAACGAGAGGAAGGGGAGGTGAGAGAAAGAGAGATAACTGGAGGGAGAGAGGAAACGGAGAGGAAATCTGTTCTCAATATGAACAGATAATCCATCCTGTGCCTCTTGCTTCAGTAACAAAGCCAGTTAACCAAACCACAGTGCACTTAGTTCAAAAGGCGGCTTGGTCATGCCGCTCTGTGAGGACATTTATGAAAACAGCAGCTGGTGAAACAACATCCTGTTAGTTATTTATACGATTAGACACAGGATTGTTATTGGAAAAGAGCTAATGGCCCTCTGAGTTGTTCAAAACAACAATATTTGGATTGGTTTCAGGCATTTCAGATAAAGAGCCATGGAAACAAGCCAAACCAATTTGGAGCTGTTGTTTTTTTTTTCTTACTACAACAGTGGTAAAAGCTTGAAAGAAATAAATCCATAAAAGACTGCAATGTACTGTTGGTAGAAATAAAACAATACCTCACATCTGTTAAATATTTAATAGGAAGAGGGAGTCATTGTTCTGCACACATACTTGAGAGGTGCTGGTAATATAGTCTGGTAGTTGTAGTGTTGCTGTTGCTGGCTGAGGATCTGCAGCTGCAGGAACAGCTGCTGTTGCTGCAATAATCGGGCATACGACGAGTCCATGGGCGCCTCGCTGGCCTCCTGCTTCTGGTCTGGTGGAACATACTGGTGGTACTTGAGCTTTTTCACCCTTGGCTTTGGCTCTTTGCCCTTCTTGCTGCGACTCTTCTCTGAGGGAGCTTTCTGCTGGCTTTGCTGTTGTTGGGGGAAACGTGGAAAAATTCTTAACATACATTCTGTCCAACAGCGGTCAAATAAAGACGCAGAGGTGATCTTATATTTAGAGGGGAACAAAAGTGTGGCGCTTACTTTCACCAGGGTTGGGCCTGGTTTTGGGTGAGCAGCTGTAGTGAGCGGCTGAGCAGGAGGGACAGCTGGGCGGCTGATGGGCTGCTCATTGGTGGAGATCACTTTCCTGAAGTCTGTTGTTGGGAGGGCCTGAAGAGGTGTAACAAAAACGCGGTTAGAAGTGTAAAACAACCTCGGCATGAATCCAATATCAGTGTTCTAAAGTTACAAAACCCTGTTAGGGCAGGAAAACAGAGCTCATTGGCATAACTAGCCATCTGACCTGCAGCATGGTGCTGGGTGGTGGCGCTGTTGCCATGACTGGAGACGGTGTCTCTGGCATTCTGTTGTCCCCTGGTGAGGGGACAGAGCTCTGAGACTCCTGACTGGCTGGTTGCTCCGGAGACAGGGCATCACTGCTGTCTTCATCCAGAACCTTGGGGTAGTTCACCTGGCCCACTGAGAGACAATCATAATATACAATACATGTTTTTTTATTTTATCCAACTCCTTGCATCATCAGTAAATTAAAGACATTTTCCTTCAACCATTAAGTGAGACATACACTAAACACTGATCACCATCAATGATCATCATCACTGTCTCTCACCAATAATGGCCTGTTTAAGGCTGGAATCCACTGGCAGGATGTTTTTCTCCACCAGCTCCATCGGGCCTGGTCTCTGGGCGATCTTCTCATTGAGGTTATCAGCCAGTCGGGCCCTCTTCAGCTTCATCTGAGTGGCCTGCAGGGAGGGCTCTGCTCCGGTCTCTGGAGAAAAATGAAACCTCATATATTTAGTACACATCATGAGAAATTATGATTCTCTGATGTCAGCTTATAGACATCTTGTTTGTAATGAAAGGAAGTAGCTCTTTTGTAGCATCATGCCTGCTGCTAAATTGTATCCTATGATCTTTAAATAATGATTGAACATTTCACAGGAACTGGAACTTCTTTCAACGCATATTTTCTACTGAAATGCTTTAAAGGTCAAAAGGAAACAGCACATAAACATTAAGTGAATGCATTGTTAACTAGAGAACTATCAGTACCTTGCAGGATGTGCATCCTGACCAACTCTGCTCTCTCTGGGCGACTGCGGATCTTGTGCTTTAGGAAGTTCTCAGTCTGAAGAAGAAGACACAAACTGATAAATCAGTAAATTCTCTAAATGTTATATAGAAGTGATATTTTTATGAAATTATGAGAAAACAGCTTAAAACAGGGACATCATTCTTTTATAAATACATATTACAGTATTGAGGTTCACAGTCCTCGTCATGTCTGGTGTACTTTGACAGCAGTTTGACAGTCCAGGAACGCACTTTGTCTACTTCACAAGTCCAAATGTAGTTTAATTCCAAACTGTATGTCTTACCCTGGCTCTCTCCAGGCTCCGAATCTGCCCATGGAAAGCTGCCGGGCTCTTCAGAGCTGCAACATACATACATATTCATCAACGCACAAAAAGAAGTTGAAGAACAACTTTTTTCATCTGATTCCACCCAGATTAAAGACATTAAAAACATGTTTATTATCTCAGCTATCAGCACGAACCAGGGTGCCACTTTGTTATCATTCACCCACCCACAACACATCAGGCCTTCAGTGGGTGATGGACAGCTGGCAGTGTCATTACTCACGTGGCATGATGCCCTGGTCCACCAGCTGCTCGCGGGTACGCCTTTGCTGAAGCCTCAACTGCAGCACTGAAAGCATAAGTGAAAAGTTTGTTTTTTAAATTGAAAAGAAGACATTTAGATTGTAAAGCAAAGTAGAGAGATGATGATACAATTCAGAGGAAAAGAAAGTGGGAAACCCAAAAGATGAGGTAATATACAAAAATAAAAAAGGGAAAATAAAATTAGGAAGAAAAAGAGATCAAAGAGGTAACCACATATGAATCTCTCCCTTTCCTGATGTATAACTCATATCCTGTTCTTTGGTCAACGGTCTGACATTATCTGATAACGTCATTCTATATGAGCGCTACTGACACAAAATATTTTCTGACAAAATTTAAAGTCAGGAGTGGACGTGGTCTTTGGTTAACTTGCCACACTGGTCAACTGCCAATTTTGTAAATACTGCCACCTTGTAAAAATGAGGTTTTAGGGATGTGAGTGTGTGTGTGGGCAGGAGGGTGTGTATGTGTGTGAATGCATAAGTGTTGGTGTCTTAACTTTAGCTTTAAGTTATTGGATCCTGGAGAAACGCTCTCTCATCTTGCCTGCATAACTGTTGTACATAAAGCAAAATGACAATAAACCTTGATATGATTTGATTGTACAACAGTGGTTACACACAGAGGTGCATCGATACCACCAAGCATTTTGATGAATAAAGAATTTTTTTTAAAGGTTTTAGCGAAATACCAAAGGAAAAGCATCAGCAGCAACAAAAATCATAAGATCTGACGATTAAAATTGCTTTTTTTAAAAACCAGTTTTGTTTGTGGGGATTTAATTTACAAGCACAATAAATATGTTTGTTTTATATGTCTAGAAATAAGAGGAAAGATTTTTGTCAAGCATGGTGACACACATTCACTGTCTTTGGACTGATCATGCTTACTGCCAGGAAAAACCTCGACCACATAGTCCACCTGTGGCACTTCAGGCTGTTAGAGAGGAGACTTAAGTACAACTGAATACAAGTTCAGCTTGACAGTAGCTAAGGGACAGACAGCCATAAAAACGTCTGCAGTCATCTGCTAACGTCCTGCTGTGTTCACATGTGAAGCTTTGCCATCCTAAAATAAACAAGAGATAAACACTATGCAAAAATACGAGATTTCCATCCGTCTATTTTCCACCACTTATTCAGGTGTGGGTCGCGGAGCAGCAGCCTCAGCTGAGCTCCCCAGACCTCCATCTCCCCCGCTGCTTCCTCCAGCTCTTCTGGGGAGATACTAATGCATTCCCAAACCAGTCGAGAAGCTCAACCTCTCCAGCGTATCTAAAAGTCTGGCCGGGGGTCTCCTCCCAGTGGGACACGATGAAACATCTCACCTCAGGCCTCACATCACAGTACATGATTTCACTGTATTTATTTAATCCACGCTAAAAGAAAGTTCATGGACGGGAATGATTACCAAACTGACGTAAGACATTTAAAGAGATTTTACTCGCTCTCAACATAAGACAAGCTGGCAGCAACACTAGTGTGCTAAAGTTGAACAATCACTATCAACAACAAAAGAAGGTGCTCACCTGCTCTGGCTCTGAACCTTGTGCAGCAGTCGCTGAGTGTTTCTACCTCCATTAAGGCCATAGTCTTAAAGTGCTGGACGCCAGAACTGTCCTGAACAGTGATTAAGGAGACAGCAGCTGTATTCTGTAAACCCAGGAGTCACACAATGAACCAAATGATAAAAATCCAAAGTGTTCAGCACATCTATGAGGCCTGTCCTCATTCCTCCCTAACTGTTATGTTTATATTACAGAGCCACTGCCTCCTACTCCCCCTCTCACTCAGTTTGGGATGGGTTATTTTCTGGCTGTATGCGATCCGGACAGAGCACGGCCAGATGTAGAGCACCGGTTCCTTGTAACTACAGTCAAGTAGCTGACTCAGCACTGCCTAACATCAAGTAACAACAACTACGTCATCAATATGAAAAGACAAGCTCGTGGCAACAAGATGACTGATTTATAGCTTCAACAGTAGTTTGTCAGTGGGTCAGCGACAAAGACAAGTGTAACGTTGAGTAGGAGGTGTGGACTTCCACAAAATAAATCCTGGCTGACACTTCTGCATTCGCGGGAAGGGACGCGTCAAAAATTACAGCAGAAACACAAACTCGCGTGGTCTAACAGGAAACAGCTGGCCGCACCAACTTCACATGTTTGGCCTCTTTGCTGTCCATTCGTTGTCAACACAGAAGAAACGGCAACCAACGGGGCATTTGCAGGATTTCTTCACTGATTACATCACCACAAAAAAACTACCGTGTCAAAAATATCACATCTTTTTCTGTACTTTCATGGGAAAACAGTAGTTCCACATTCAGCTGCAGTGAAACATTTACAAAATCTTACATGGTGCATTAACACAGGCAGATTGCAGGTTTGGAGGCTTGTAGGAAAAAAAGAGCTATACATGTGGGGACCCTGTACGTAGTGTGAGTAAGCTGTGCGGGAATGTGCTGTATGTTCAAGGTGATTCAGACAGACTTCCAAGCAGCTGCATTGTCCTCGATTTCTTCCGGGAAACACCGCTCAACCATGACAAACATAAGTTGACCTGTGACCTCAGTATGCTGAGGAGAGACGGGGATGACACGAACGAGCTGTTTTTGCACACAAAGACCGGCATGCACACACACAGAACCACGGAGGAGGAAAACTCTTGCAAATAAATATGTCCTTTTCCCCTGCAGTGAGTAAGCTTAAGTCTGATTATGAAGGCTCCCTTGGAGGAAGTAAAACAAAAGTTGAAAGCATCTGCCCCCCAGCACCTCAGAAGCTTAATAATTAACATGTCATAGCTTATTTGTTTAGTGTGTACCAAAACTAAGGAGTTAAAATGTCACTGTGAAGACACCAGGCCGCTAGTATGGTTGAGAAACTGTCCTGCACTGTCCTGTCTTAGCTAAGCTCTAGGCGAGCTCAAGCTTTATGTTTAATGGACAGATTTAAAGGTCGTGTCAATGATCTCATCCAGTTTTCAGCAAGAAAGCCAATGAATATATTCCCAAATGTTGCACTATGCTATTAACGAGAAATAAATAAAAGCTGAAGGTAAGAAAAGCAAAATTGTTTTTCACTTCTAGAGGAAATAAATGTTGTGACAATATCACTACTGGTTAGACAACTGGAGACCTCACAACAGGTCGGCCTGCGATGTCACATTTTAATGAAGACCTACAGGTTTCAGACAGGGATGTCCACATGGTGTAAACTAGCAAGTTGGAAAGAGGAACAGAGAAAACCAGCGTCGTATTTTGATCTTTAGATGAAAATAAAGTTATATGTCGGCTTCCGACACAATAAACCAGCCTGTAACACTCGACTGGAGCAATATCTAACAGCACAGACAGGTTATTTGTTAACTTGTATTTTGTGAGTTCTTATCATGTTTTGTGAGATAATGTGCAACGTCCTCCAATTCAGTGGCAATTAAAAGACAATTATGTCATTTAAGAATGTGATTAGAGTTTTACGCGGCTCTTAATCTGCACAATATATTTTTTTTAGACAACATTTAACCTTACTGCTTGCATTGTGCTCAATTTTCACTGTTTTCTGAACATTCTCTGAGACGATTTTCTGCTTAATCAACTTGGAAATTAGTTGTAAGGAACATCTAGTTTCAGCATTGCAACAGAATGCCTAAACCTGGATCGATGGAGCAGGCAGTGTGTGTTCAGCCACCCGTAAGTCGGCTCTATTTTCTTAAAGTCTGAGTAAAGCCTGAAATCTAAAAATAAGTTAAATACAACAGTACTGTTGAGATGGACTTCCTGTACAGCAGAGAAAGCAGTTAGTCACATTTTTTGTTAAACAAAGATAAACTGTCGAGTTAATCTCAGGCAGAAACCCTAAAATCTATCAATGTTTGTGGCTTTAAGCTTGTCTGATCTAAGTCACTGTGATTGACATTATCGTTATATGTGTGAAGTTCAGTTCACTTGGGCAGTTTCATTAATTTCAGTTTTTGGTTACCTCTTACTGGCCTGATTCTTAATCTGTGTCACAACAACTTAACAGCTGGGAGTCTCTGCTGAAAGTAGCGCTGCAGCTCCCCACTTCTCCCTCCAGATTCTCCAAGTTCCACACAGCTTGAGACTCAGACCTGTCACGATGGTAGACAGATTAACACCTGCGTGATCAAAACCAATATGGCAGAAGGGACTTTGCGGTTGGCAAAGTGTCGGGGGATGGCTCCGAGGACGGAAAGTATGAGGTGTGTGTTCTCGCTGGAGGGGAAATGACAAAAGCCAAGATGATGAGTGGGTGCTACTACTGTTGACATTCCACAGAAATTTTCCACCGTCGAGACGTTTTACTGTGCTCTCCTGCAGACAGCAGCAGACAGCACCAAAATCCAGCATTAACCAAAACACATGTATAATCCAGTCTGGAACGGCTCCGATTAAACGCCCTGCATTTGTTCAGCTAAAAAATTAGATTGCGTCGAGCGTGGTGATCGATACCGCAGGAACCGGACTGAATGAATGATCTCCCGGTGCCATTTAAGCCACGATTAGCAGCTGGCAAACGCAGGACTGGATCTGACCCGTTCCTAAAGCCTGGTAATTGTGAACTCGTCCATCAATGTCAGTTCAGTCCCATGTGGCTGCCAACACAACATGAAAACTGTGAGGGTGATGAGAAGCTAACGTGCAACCTGGCTAGCATGATGAAGACAATTTCCTTGCGTAGTGCCAAAGAAAAGTTGATGGAAGATTCAGGAGTTGAGGGCTCAAGTCTGTGGCCCATTTTGAACTAACTTTGTGTGCTTGTGCACGTGCAGTAATAAACAGTGTGTGGGCGTTGATGGCTGCACATTTCTGCAGTACATATTGGAGACGTGGGAACAAGCAAAGATGCTGATGTTAATACATACCGTTTGATTTATATTACATTTACAGTGAGGGCACTGTCAATTTTTTATCACCTACAGTCGTCTTCAATTGTATTCATGCCCTTCCATTAAAGAAAAGGCAAAATTCTCAATAGTCACTCAAACAAATAGGAACTGAAAAAGTAATAATAAATAAAAATTTGCTAAATTATAATTTTGTAAAATAACACATTGCTTTTGAATTGTGGTTGAAAAGAATAATAATTAAAAATGGACATATTAGAGCACTTTGCTGATGAGCAGTGGGCCAAAATCAAAATACCTGTGAACAGGTGCAGAAGTCTGATTGAGAGTTACAGAAAACACTTGACTGCAATGAGTGGCTCAAAGGGTTGTTCAACAGAATATTTGTTTACGGGTCCCATCATGCTAGTTTGCTTTTAGTTTTTTTTAAAATACATATATATATACACATGTCTGTTTAACCACAATTCAAAAACACTATCATGATTTTCATTACATTTTTATTTATTGTTACTTTTGTCAAGTTCAACTTATTTCAGTGACAGCTATTTTTTTCCTTCTTTAATGAGAGTCTATGAATACATTTGAGGACAACTGTATGTGCATAAATTGCATCTTTTGAGAATTCTAAACTGTTTTCTTTAATTACACCCATCTATCCCTTCAATTAATACTTTTTTCCAGATATTGTTTAGAAAATTAAGTTCAATCATTCTGTCTTATTTACTTTGTTTTCACACTACGATGATCAAGTTATATTGTGTTTTATATGCTGATTTTTTCCTGTGTTGGTATGTTGCACTAGTCACGCTATAAATGCAGAAAGAAGGATGATGTTTTGTTATTTTTGTGCACTGTGAAGGTAAGATGATCACGTTGTATTGCATGTTTATATGACAGTAACACCATGTGACTAATCAGATCATTTAGCAGCAGAATTACAGTATGAGTGTGATGGTGATGGCACAGAAGAGCAGACAGCTGCATTGCGATCATGCAATAACCTCAATTAGCGACCTGATTTGTGCTGACTCCAGGGCTGCCTGTAGATTTTTCTAGTCGACTATTATTTATTCAAGCCATTAGTTGCTGCACATTTATGATATTAATTTGATTATTTAAATACATATATTTGGGTGGCATCACAAGATGGTTTGAGTTCCTGAGTCCTCTGAAAAACTGAGATTGAAATCAACACAAAATGAGTTGCAGCAATGCAGGCGAAAGCAGTAATGACTCTAAAAGGAAAACATTTTGTTAATGAGCCTAGTCATATAGGGTCATCTCCGGTTGATGCAGTGCAACCGGAGTTTTTTTCCCCAGCAACCAACTGACCAGTCAAAACAATGAGAGAAGTCATCTAAGACTCTTCTCATCAGCTAACATTTGGTCAACTATTGGAGGGCAGCCCTAGCTGACTCACTGAGTTTGAGCAAAGAGAACAGACTCTAAGTAGCATGTAGGTGAAACGTGAACACGTGAAAGCAAGAAAAACACGAGAAAGTAACATTTTAAGAACTAAGAAGAAGATTAGGTAAAGCTATGGCAAAATGCTTTCTCGAAATGTGTTGTGTGTGTGGCTCTTAGTTTTAATACTACTGTGTGTTCAACAAGAAAGTTTTGCTAGAAACAAATAAGAAGCTGAAGAGTCATTATTTAACTGTCTCTCTGATACAAGGTGAGACTGACAAGTTTTCACTGCAGGTGAATCCATTTTTTGCCTAAATTAGTCTAGTCTGACCATAGAAAACCACCTCATCTTTACATGATTGAAGCTGAAACCAGCAAAGGTTTTGACTGTTTTACTAGATATATCTTACCTCACTTTTTTATTAAACAGCATTTTTTGACATTTGTGACCCATCTGCACGAAATCAGTCGCATTGCACCTTGGGCTATTTTGTGTAAACAAAAGCGGCATGTTGCTAACACATGACGCAAATCACGGGACAGGATTGGCTGGCAATGACATATGGCTCGCGGTGCCTGCGCACAAGTGATTTCCGCGGCTTCTTTCTGGTGTTACCACTCATGCACGCTGACGGTACCTGACAGCGATATGGAGCATAATATCATTACGCTATGTAATATTATATGTTATGGACCGATCTAAGCAATAAACCCAAAATCATTGATATTTTATCATGTGTTAACGTACATCGGCTGTATCTCAGATATAACCCAAGGTGCAATGCGACTGATTTTGTGCAGATGAGTCACATATTAGCTTTTTTTGAATAAACAGTTTAAGATAAACAGGAAAGGGAGAGCTGAGATCAGTGATGACACGCAGCAAATCACCCTGAGTTGGACTCGACCCAAGAATGCTGTGTCAGAGACTATAGCCCTTGTCCAGATAACCTATAGGGGCTCCCAGATATTTCAGTTTTTGATAGCTGTAGTGCAGAGAGACCAGAAGTGTGGAAGAGAAAAGCTGCATATCATGTAACTAACGTCTGCTCTGCTGGGAGGTGATCTGTGGACGTTATGTGACAGTAGCATGTCCTCACCATTTTTGCGTTCATTGAGCGGCGGCAGGCTCTGCGTGGGCTGCAGCGACAGCTCCTCCATCTCGTGGGTCACCGCCTCGCTCTGGGGACTGGGTACCAGTAGATTTGACATCCCACCATCCCCTTCCACTCCGAGCTGCCCCTGGGGCTCCATCCTGCCTCAGGAGGGGATTGGGGTGGAGCCAAGCAAGAGGAGTATGGGTCACCGTCCCTTTGTGTTATGTCTCCCCGCTACCTGTGTGGATATGAGGAGAAAGAAGAAAGAAAGAGGAGTTAGAGGGAAATTAAGTTACGGCTTTAATCGTCAACAGGAGGAATGCATCATTCTGTGATATTTTGTGGGCTCCTCAGAAACACCAGTAATTCAGAATAATCATCATCATCCTGTTGGTATGACTACTTCACCCAACTGGTGAAATGCTAAGGGTGGCATTTCAGTTCAGCCATCTGGAAGAGCTCAGTCCCAGCCCAAATTATTCATTAAACAAGCCGGGTTGGCTATTATACTGAATAATCACTTCAAACCGCTGCTCAGGAGAAACAACGCCAGTTTGTGCATGAATGTTCTCTCTGTTCAGACAGGCTTCATAATCTGGAGTATAACGTCACTGTGGCGGTTTCAAACAGAGGGAACGGAAACATTTCGGGGAGCAAAACAAACAGTTTAGTATCCATGGCTTCCCAACAGTCTGCTCAGTCTGAACATGTATGCTATTTATCACTCTGCAGCAGCACCCACATCTATCCATTCCAGGACCTATGCACTCTTTACTAACCATACTGATCTGATGCTTTTGGCTAAGAACGACCGTGCTCATATGGTCGCCTTTAGTTCTGCCCGTAGGCCCTTTAAGTGTTAAATAACTGTGGGAGACTGCATAACTACAGGATACGTAACAGATGTCTCTCTGGAGAATTCTAAAATTGGACTTGAAATCAGTTTTCATCAATAAGTCTCTGTTCTTTCAGCAGCCTGCCACATCGTTCCTATTGTGTATTTGTGTCATTCATTAGGATTGCATTCAGCCTCACCAATCCGACATCAAGCATCAACATGGAAGTCCATACCCGTTCACTTGGGACTTAATCTGCATCAGTCTATGTTGAATTTGGCCACCACAACAAAATTCCCCCCCCTCCAACTCTTCAAAACTTGGCTCCCAATCCAACACCACTTTCTGGCCCCTTAATGATGATTAAGCGCCACTAAAACACCGTGGTACAGATATAATTCATGCCTTGATGTTCAACAGTTCAACTTCAGTGGTTTTCTGTGACAGAGAGCTGCAGCAACATATCTCCATCTTTAGATATTTAACCACACTCCGCTCTGTTGAATGTTTCCTCCAAATTACAATCTGACGCTTCATATGCTGTGAGGTCCTTTTCTATGATTCTTGGAGGGCCATGTCAAAAACCAGACCATACATGCAATGTCATCTGTCTGAGGTTGTATTTCAGTGGAAGCAGGAGGTTGCTGTTGTTAATGAAACTGTACTTTGGATTCAAGCTGCATCAACTGTTCTTTCCTGCAGTTTCTCCAGCACACAAGACTTGGAGCTAAAACTGCCACAGAACCACAAGCAACACTTAATTCCTGTTTTAAGTACATGACCTTGATGCATAATAACATCCTTAGCCAATTTACCAAAAAAAGCCACATTTAAAAGGAGTTTCACTTGAATGAATGAACTGGTTCTACCCAAGTGTCCAAGTGAAAGATTCGTCAGTAGGATTGCTGATGTCAACACTGACAACACATCAATATTTTAAACCAAAACAAGGTATAAAAAGTTCTTTCTGAAATGCTTCAAATACTGTAACAACTATTTTTCTTGCTGCATCATGACGTCAGTTGTTTTTGGCTTTAGTCATGTGTTAGCCACAGTGTGCGCTACAATTTTTGCAAACGGCAGCTGTAGCAAAGTTTAGCTTGGTACAGAGTAAAAGTTTCCAAAGCTTTTTGAAAGTATGGGAGCACTTTATCAGAAATAAAAACATAGTCTTGTATGCTGTGTTAAATTTCTGTGGCATACCACAACAGGACGAGCACAACACACTGAAAACACACTGCAAGACGCACCGCAAGAAAAGGCGTCTGTTCATTAGTGGGGAGAGCATGTTGATATGCTTTGACCTTGTGACTGCTGAAAACACTCACACAGCTCAACATTAAAAAAAATAAAATAAAAAAGAAATGCCTCCATTCCTACCTGTAGTAACAGAAGACAGCAAGGGACGGAAGGAAGAGATGTCTGGGTTAGTTGCTGCCAAGACTCACGCTAAGCCATCGGGTTGAACCTGGCAGGAGACGGGAAGAGACAATCGTGAATATCACAGGTGCAGCAATTTATTAAAACCTAAAGAGCTTAAGGTGCTGATAAAGGAGGCCTTTCTTTTGTTTTGGGTGGCATCAGTGATACTGGGTGGACAAGCACTGATTTGGTGTTTCCATACTTCACATCCAATACATTACAATCCCACGCTGAGTAAACTACTATGACTGTCTTTGTCAGATTTTATGTTTTTAAATTAGTTTCACTCAGTCTTTTCTGTCTTTGTTCAGTATTAGCAGATACTGATGCATCCTACTGTCTTTATCACGAATGAATAACCTTTGCAGATGGAAATGTATAACACATTTCCATCCATCCATCCATCCATTTTCTATACACCGCTTAATCCTCACTAGGGTCATGGGGGGCTGGAGTCTAACCCAGCTGACTTAGAGTGAAGGCAGGGGACACCCTGGACAGGTCACCAGTCTATCACAGGGCTACACTTAGAGACAGACAACCAAGCACACTCACATTCACACCTACTGACAATTTAGAATCCCCACTTAACCTCAACATGTTTTTGGACTGTGGGAGGAAGCCGGAGAACCCAGAGAGAACCCACGCTGCGCGGGGAGAACATGCAAACTCCACGCAAAGAGATCCCGGGTGTCCTCACCGGGACGCGAGGCTGCAATGCTAACCACTGAGCCACCGTGCAGCCCTGTATAACACATTTGTAAAAGAAAAATAACCAGCAAACAACAAGTAAATAAATCCTACATGGACTATGGCTGCCTGTGTAATTTCAGTTGACAACTGATTGTCATGCAAATAACTAGAATTACAGATTTTTGTTTTTCTGTGTATTTTATGCCTCTTTTAGTTTTACATCAGTATTATTAGTGCACTTGAGCGCCATTTGGTTCTCCTTTTCATTTGGCTTAAACCCAAAATGTGCCCACAGTGGTGCTGTGGTGTTTGGCTGAGCAACAAAATCCATGACGTTAATGTCGGTAGATGCTCATCGCAATAAAGTCAAATATTAGAAGTTCAGCACAACATAAACAGCTGGTGCCATTAAACCACCACAGAAAGAGGTGGTGCAAACAGTGGAAACAGTGATTGAAACATGACATTTCTGTTCGTTTCATTCAGCAGTTTTTAGACGGGGGGATGGAAACGATTTTAACGGCTATGCAAAATGACCGCGGTCAGCTCAAATAATTACGATCATTTAATTATGTAATAACTGTGCCGGGCCTAAAGACGACAGAGTCTTAGTATATTTTCTTACGTGGCGCCAATGCAAAGACAGACTACCGGTGGAGTGGGTTTTTAAAGGTAAAACAATGGAAAGAGAATCCACATTCAGGGAGCAACTACTTGAACCTAATGAGGTATCAGATTTACAAAATGAAAGTCCATTAAAAAATAATGAAATGAACACACACACACACACACAGAGTGCAGACACTACCAGACAGTGATGCTGCTTGAATAGGTGTGTTTGAAGATAAGTGGTAGAGAATAAAGCAGATGATAAGTACCACTTAAAGATGCCTGAATGAAACTGGCCGGCACTCAGAGCTGCATCAAGGTCTGAAAATTGATGTTCATAGGTTGCGCGGAAAACCTGCAGTGGAAATGGATTATCTAAACAGAGACAACAGAGACGGTTGCTGTAGTGTAACATCATACTGCAGTCTGAGGGAGAGACTGAGAATAAGAATCAATCAACTGCGCAGAGAAGCTTTCAAGCCTCTTCAAGACATGTGCTTAGTATACAAAGCAGATAACTTGATTAGAGTTGTATCAATTTACTGACACTCTGGGCAGATGATAGCCTTGTTCCACATATCTCATATTTCCCAGTTATATGCGCTGAGGGAGGTTCCTCCCTGAACCCAAATGTGAATTTGTGCATTTCTGTTTAAAATACAAGACCTGAGTCGTATGATCACAACCCATCATAAAAATGTATTTAATTAACAATCGCACTGACCTTCAAATACCTACATTAGGCAAACTATAACAACATGGTAGATGGTTTTTCTTTTAAGCGAGTCAAAGACAGGAGAGAAAGGGAGGGTGGTATTCCATTGGACAGAGCGGGGAGGGGGAATACATTTTGAGGGGCAAAGTTAAAGGGACACTCGAGGGCAGACCATGAACAAGTGAGTGCAAGAAAGAGGGCAGTGAAAGAGAGGGGAAGGAACAAACAACTGTCACGGCTGACAAGGCGTTGTGGGATAAACACCGGCGCTGCCCCTGCAGGATCAAAGAGCAGATCCAGATGGCAGGCGCTGCATGTTGCTCTACCCTCAACTGTTCATTTAATGGCACAGGGCAACAAGTACCATGTGTTTCATCAAAGGGTAATGCACGCAGGCACACACACAACACACACACAACACACACACAAGAAAGCACACACACTTCCAGAATCAAAAGTGTGCTAAACAGAAGAGGCTGAACTGTGGAGTTTTATTTCCTGCAGGTATCGACAATAAATGACCAGTCACCTCTATAAAAAGCTTTGTGCGGCTGACTGCTGTGTCACATGACCAGTCAGAGGAGTGCCGTATTATTCTGCACTGGGTGTGTTTGGTATTTTGAAACCAGGCGCAGGCAACACGCACGGCCATTACAGTTGCCCACACTTATGTCAGTTGTCAATGCCATACTGTGCAACCACACGCATGGGTTTCCCTGCCATTATAAGACGTAAGCGCGGTGCCTAAATGTTTTTTTGTGCAGCGCCTAAGCCGAATGAATGGAAAAGCTATGTTGAGAGCTCTCCATCTGTGCTGTTGTGATGAGAAATGATCCGTGCTGATCCGAAGAAAAAAGTGGAGGTTGTGCATGAACGCGATAAAACAGCACGTTCATTTAGTGCGCTCATGTTTTTGGTTAACACACAGGGTTGAGGGACTTGTTTGAGACTTGGCAGGAGGGTAATGTCTTATTGTGAAACCCCAACAAGAATTTAAATCTGTGTTCACACCAATGTGACACTCGGGTTGAGGAGTGGGGTCCAGTTCTCTTTACCACCTGGTTTAGACCTCCATGCACCGACAACTGAACAACAGGGATTTTTAATGTTTGGTTTCATTTTCCTTCACTTTCAGGCTGAGTAGTGCCCACGAGGAGGACACAGATGTAGTAAGTGGTAATGGTGAGTCAAGATGACTTCACTTGATTTTCGTTGGCATGGTTTACACTCAAAACCATCATATTTTAAAACCATATATTACTTTTACGTGTTAAAGCTGCACGTAAAGGGGAAAAAAACAGATTTAAAAAAAAAAACAACAACAGACAAATCATACCAAACTTCCTCTTGTGAAGAATGAACTTGACACGCTTCAGACACATGCACCATACATTTGAGGAAGAGACATGTTCAGATATTGTTTTTGAATGCCGACTTTGCAAGTCAAATTTGTAGCTTTAACGCTGCGAGGCTGGCAAGTGTTTTCTGTCCATCGACAGTGAGTCACGTAAAGTCAATCAGCAATGAAAGTGTTTGTTTTGCCCGGTTTAACCATCACTTGCCCAGTGAAGGCTTCTTAAACTTGTTTTACTGTCATGAAGGAAATATATTTCTGACAGGCAGGAAGAAAATCAGCTGTCACACATGATGAGCTCAAACAGACAATCTGAAAATGCCAACACGCCGCCTCCACACGCAGCGCCTAAACTCTCCAGAAACCTAGGGAAATCCCTGACAGATATTACCCATGCCTCCCCTGACAGCACATAATTGTCTTCTGGTCTTCTCAACATGTCATTATAACAAATGAAAGAAGAAATCCATCACCACAGGCACTTCAGCTGAATGTTCCTCTTGAAACCCAACAACAGTATGGTAAGAGGTATCAGCATCACACAGACAATGGACTTTAGAGGCAGTAGAAGTTAACTTTTAATTGGTATTTGTACAGCTACAGAGGAAGATGGACAAGAGAATTTGCAGAGTGTTGAGATGACACATTGGTCAGATTTGCAAAGTCACTAAAATTAAGACAATGCATATGGAACAATCAGCCTGTAACGACATGGAAAGTCCAACCAAAAGACCCAACAAACTGACTGACAAAAGGAAATTTACACTGCAGGAACAATACACCTTTGTGCTTGTTCAGATTGCAGGAACTGCCCCAGTTTAACCTCTTTCAGGGCCGTTTTCAGGGACTAAAAAGTACCTACTCCATGGTAGAAAAATTTAAGCAGCCCAGCAGAACTGCTGGGGGAGGCTTGACGCAACATGGTTAAACTTAGAGACGATAACAACAGTGAGCACCACTTTTTTTACTCTCAATGTCCCTTTGAGGAGCAATCTAGTGTAAAATTTGTCATACAGGCTAACAGAGCATATGGCTGAGCAGCAACTATTATTCAGTTTTGTTGTGTCCATTAACTATTTGTTATTGTTTTGGCCCATTCAGGATTAATATCACAGACGAAGCTGATTCGGACCATTTTTAATATGTTTAGGATTATCTCATCTTTTGTGTCTGGTGGATCCCACACTGCAAAGGAAACACAGAGGCTGAGATGGCCAATTAGGGGGCCGTTTCTGTTACCATTCGTCCTCTGAGTTCCTGCAGTGGAAAGGCGCCTAAAGCCACCCACAGATCCCGCACTCTCACTTAAACACCTAAAAATACATCCTCCTTAGGGGACTTCTAAATGAGATGTTTTACTTAAAGGACACTAACACTGCCATTACCCAACAGATCTCAATTTGATGGTGGTTTAGAGCCACTTCTCCACATTACCAATGCTGATTACAGAGCTCAGTGCAATCAATACAGAGCATCTCAGATAAATGAACAAGGGCGGATTCTAAGATAAACTGAAAGCAGACGGTGGCTTCAGGTTTCAGTATCTGCTGAAAGAGAAGATCAGAGTTCAACCAGGTAATAATTTCAGTCGACATTTTTTTGCAGGCTGGTGACAGTTTTTGGGTGTGCCGGCCGCCTCAGGCTGTTCTTTCTCTCTCACAGCCTTATGAAGGCCTGTATGTATGCAGCGCACGTGAGAGGATTTATGATATGTCAACTGGGAACATCTTGCTGAGCTTTCTCAGAACAATGGGACAGAATGAGAACTATATGAGCTTCTGTGTGTGGAAAGTAAGATTTAGGAGGTGAAACATTGAAACAAATATTCAAAGATGAGTCAACAAAACAAACACAATCATTTTGAGGCCATTAAAGAGAGTACAAATTGTTATAACTACAGACCTTTGTTTCCACAACAGCAACAAAACTGTCTGCAATCTGACAGGAGGTCATGGGTCAAGTTTACTACAAATAGGCCGAGCTGTGAGGAATTCCAGTGATAAAGTTCCCACAAGCACTCACAAATGACACACACTTAACTGGCAGTAGGAGATAGCTGCAGCCTCAGTCTAAGAGCTTAGAAACTATGAAGAGTCTGGTCTGGTGTCTGTTAATAGTCATAAAACACGAATATCTGTCTTTGAAAAAAAAAAAAAAAAGAAGAAAGCAATGCGATGTAATGCTGACAGCTGTTTAAAAATGTGCATTTAAACTAAAACTAATAAGTGCCTCTTTCAAAAATAGATCAACTCTGATTTGAATGACTGAGCATCTTCAGAGAAAAATAAAATACTCAGCAACACCTCATTGAATGACATCTGAAACAAAAGGAAAATAACTGAACATAACAATGTAACACAGAGCACGACAACAAGTAAAAGGTACGTAACAAGACTCAATTTGCATCTTTGCAATGTATTCCTGTCAGACATTATGTAAAACAGAGGTGTCTTACAGTCTCATGTGGGATGAGCTCGATGTCTGGCATGACACAGCAATAAAAACTAAACCAGGATTTCGGCCTGTGGGCCCGCGAATTATTATACATGTTAAAAAGGACATCAGCTTAAACCTGGACCACAGCTCAAGTCACCATGTGAAGTATGCTAAAGAAATGTGGCACACACATGCAAAACACACACAGCATGAGAACCACTCTGTGCCAAAGTGCAGTTTGAGTCTGCAGTTTTCTGGGCCTTAAATAGACCACGTCTTGTCCAACAAAAATGTCTGCTTTTATCCACAGATAAGACAAAAATGATGTCACCACTGTGGCTCATTCAGTAGAGTCAGTGTTCTGCTCTGTTCCCACAGACACACATGCGGTGTAGTTTCCTTCCTGGCTGCCTTTGGGGACTTTGATGAAAAGATCCTCTAAAAAAAACCATACAAAGGGACTTCGCGAACAAAAAAATGAGGATACAGTAGGGCTGGATGTGAATATAGAACTGTGATTTTGCTGTCAGATGTTGCAATTTTATTTGTGATCCCAAAAAAAGTCGCTTGAGATCAATGTTTAGGTTTTAAAGCATGTGATGGAGCACATGGGATTCCATCAGAAGTGTGACTGTCACGTAGGGAGGACGTGACTGAAACTCTAGCCCAGACATGTTGCATTACGTAAATTGTAAACTTCGGCCATTGTGATTTGCTATTTGCATTGTTTTACATCGCGGTTTAGATTTGTAATCCATGACTCGTCCAGTCTTAGGAACATAAACAGCAGCTACTTAGGCAAACTTTAACTGATACCCAGCAGTCTAATTGTGTCACAATTACTGCGAGGAGGATTCTCAAATTAAATGTGCACAAAGACCAAGTGCGATTAAATGCAAACACATCTGCCTATATGGTGGTATTTGGTTTCATTTTGCTTTAATTCGCTGCAGGGACAGACATGGAAACCCAGGGCTAAAGTGATCCAAGCAGACAATGTTCCTGCAAACTAATACTGCACTGGGAGGCTGAAATAGCCAAATCACGCAGGGATACAAAGCATACAGCGCTGGGATGATTACTTTCCCATGCATAATGTTTAAGTTAACGTGAATAATTCACACTTCTCAGTGACAGACTGGATAAAGCTGTCTGTGAACCCACCACGTCCTGTCTGTCTGTCTGCATGAGTCACACACACACACACACACACATCGCGACCTGTTTGGATTTGCTGCAGCGCTGCCTCACTTTCCTCGCTTCGGTCGATTGGAAGGCAATGAGAGAACATCATCGTGTTTGTGCAAGAGAAAGAGGGGCCTCATTAACATAGCATCCGTGGTTAGTATTACTTGAGTGACTGAGGCTGCCAGCTCACTGTGATCCTGTGTGTCATGCCCCGAAATTCAGAGCTCCACAGTAAAGGGCTGGGATAACCACACCACACTCACAACTAGCTGGTTTAAACAGCAGGAAAACGTGTTTTATAAATCTGGGTGACATGGCTGTCGGCTACACCACGGCTAGTGTTATCGCAGAGGTGGAGGCGGGTGGGTGTGGGATAAGCTAATGTTGGCTAGCTACTTTAAATCTGACAGGTGAGTGAGTTGCAGTCTGCGCCGATCATTAAAGATGGTGAAGCGTGTCCGTTATTTTATTTTATTTTTCATTAAGAGAAAACACAATTTAAAGATAAATGGCAGTCACACACTCGTCGCCCATGCTCTCTCGTTTAATCTCACCGAGCCTCGTCGCATGTCTCAGTCTGCATTATCACGAACGCTGCTCGACAACAACCTCCTCACATTCCCTCTAGTTAGCTCGGTTTAGCTCAGGCTAACAGGCTAACATGCTAAAAACAAGACAGCGCCGCCCCGGACTCCGTGCTCTTACCGAATTGCGAAGACTTGAAAGCCGGTTCCATTCGAGCCGCGGCCCACAACGAGGTATCCTTGAATGTCAACGGAATTGTCTGAAGTGTTTTTGGGTTTTCCCCCCGTCTAGCATAGAGATTGAAGTTTATTTCGCGGAGGAAAATGGCTGCGACTGGTCTGGGTTCGGATGCAGGGTGACGTAATGACGCTGTCGGTCAGGAAGTGCAGGGGGGCGTGTCCGTCTGCTCACCGGTCAGCTCACCGGAACCAGCGCTGCGCTGGACCGGGATATTCTGCTGAGCTAAACTCTTCACAACACCTGCAGGGATACATACCTGGAAACACGTTTTCCACGTGTTTGTTTTTTTAATCTTATACAGTCGTCCTCAAATGTATTCATACCCTCCCATTAAAGAAGGGAAAAAAACAGCTGTCAATGAAATAAGTTGAAATTGACAAAAGTTATATTAAATAAAAATGTAATAAAGTTTTGTTTATTTAAATTGTTCTTTTCAACCACAATTCAAAAGCAATGTCTTGTTTTACTAAATTATAATTTAGCATTTAAAAAAAATAAAAAAATTATTACCACTTTTTCAGTTTCTAATTATTTGAGTGACAGTTGTGAATTTTGTCTTTTCTTTAATGGAAGGGTATGAATAAATGTGAGGACGACTGTATATGTAATGGGGGAGTTGCATAACTCACTACAGTGAAGCTCTTAGACATCCACTGGCATTTAAAAGTAAAATTAAACTCTATATTTCTTTCTTCTCAGAACAATTAAAACTACAGACGTTGAACCAAATTATTTCCAATACAGAAAGAAGATCAATGTTCCGAATGTATTTTTACTAATTTTAATGTTCAGGTTTCAATCCTACAGTATTATATATAATAAATCGTGCCTGACTAATTTAAATGTTAGAATTAAGACCCTACAATATTATGTTATATGCATTTATAATATTTAATATCAGTGTTAATCTCAGGAATGTTATTTAATTATGTAAATTTACCTGACTAATTTAAGTGTTAGGATTAAGACCCCACATTATTATCATACATACCAATTTACTTGACTAACTGAAAAATTAAGGTTACTACCCTGCAAAATCATACATGGAAAATCCATTCCCTTCTAGCAGACATACTGTTAACAGTGGAGTAGAAAAAGTTATTTTACTTTTTGTGTCGAATAAAACAACTGATTACATTTTACTGTGATATGTACTCGATGACATACATAGTCAAAGACAAAAAAAATAAAATCATATGAAAGGCAAATATATCAGATAACAAATATGTTTTTGTGTGTACTGTAAACCAGGAAAACATGCATTTATACGCTACCATTGCATGTCTTTAACTTTGTCTGTTCTCTCCACCCTGGTTTATGCTTCGTCTCCTCTGCAGGTGTCTTTGGCTTCAAAGTGGCACTGCTCTAATCTGTGGTTGCATACCTCACAGTTTTTCTTATCTTGTTGCATCGTTTGTCTGTTTGTGTGCTACCCCTCCCTCTCTCATTAACCCTCGATCTAAACGGTTGAGGTAAATGCCATCCTCCCAGTGCCTGGTTCTGCTGGAGCTCTCTTCCTGTCAAAATGGAGTTCTTTCTCCTCGCTGTCGCAAAAGTGCTTGCTCCAAAAGAATCACCGGATTTGTTGGGTTTCACCACAGACTGTATTTAAAAGATGGATGTAGCCACTGTGATGCCACCTGTAGGTTTGTAGATCACTAGTTTGAAGCCTTGAGTTTGGCATTTGGCCATCGCTATGTTGGTCTTTTGATCTGACTTGAGGAGGACACTACGCACAGCAACACAACAGCAACCTCTCAATCATAATTCAGTCCTATTCTGAGCCACAACCTGCTCTGTCGTCTATTTTATTCTAAATGAGACCATTATCTACAAAATGAACATCATGCTGAATCCAAAAAGTCTTAAAACTATGAACTGAGATCATAAACTCATTAGGAAAATGATTACTGAGTTACCAGATCAAGGAGGACGTTTGGGTGCTTTGTCACAGATTTCTATACAATCAGACTTTTTTTTGCAACCAGTCCTGCTGAATGTTGGAAAGAACGCATCGGCTTTCAGTCTACAAATTTCTCTCCATAATGCAACATTGCAATGTTTTGACCCCACTATATGAAGTAACCTGAGGTAATGTATGTTCTGAATGTTTGATAGATAAAACGGAATTTAATTAAACAGCTATGCTGTTCTAGAAAGCTTTATTTTGAAATAACATAATTTTGATTTTTTTTTTTCAAGATTTAGAGATTTTATCATTCCACAATGTAAAAATATTGTTTGTTTCCAAGTACAAATAATCAAATTACACACACAGAGTTTCCGAAATAAATACAAAAATCTGTAATATTAAATTCATTCTGAACATTAAAATAACACACATTTTGATGACAAAAACTGCACCAAAAAAAAAGTGTAATTTCAGTCTTTGTTTTACATTAGCACCACTTTAAAAATGCAAAACTACTCCTGATGTAAGGGAAAATAGATTCATATACATCAGTCAGATTAGCTGATAGACTGCCCATCATGTCTGTTTGGTCTTCTGTACAGGAGCAGGAACATCAGCGATATTGTGCAGAAACTCATACAGCAACTTAGCATTGTTAGCGTTACCAAGTATTTCTGCTAGCTTGTCCTGGCTGAGTTTGGCTAGATCCGCCAGGCTGTCTGCATTTTTAACAAGAGCCCTGTAGTTTTTGGTACTGACCCCAGGCATTTTCAAGAGGAAGTCATAAGGTCCGGGGTTGTAGAGGTCTGCTGACTCAGCCACAAGGTCTGACTCAGCCGTGACCGCCTGAGCTGCTGAAGCATCGGGTTCGAGTCGGCCTTGTTTCAGTTCCAGGAAGAGCTCGGCTGTGGCGTGTGGGGACGGGCACCAGAGTATACGGAGGCGGGGGAAGTGCAATGTGAGTAAGGTAAGCTTTGAAGAAATATCATTAGATGATAACTCGTGACGGAAATCTGACCGGGCCACTAGGGAAAACGGTTTAGCCGGGTCGAACTCAATGAGTAGCACTGGTTTCTTGTAGTAGCGGGTCATGGAGAGGCACTGAGTGTAGAGGCGCCCGCTCTGCAGCGAGCCAATCAGGTCACTGACGCTCTTGCGCTCAACGCACGTGTCCGGAGTCAGAATGTAGTCGCCTACTTCTAGGGTGACGGGCTCGATGTCCAGCCCACGGCGGTGCAGCAGGGAAGGCAACTCGCTGCGGAACTCACGCATGTCCACAATGACTCGTGACGGCTCCTTGGACTCCTCCTGGCCTCCTGGTTATTGGACAGGGAATGGAAATGACGACAAAAGTCAAAATCAAATATCTGAAAACAAACATAGACCTTAAGAAACTGATAAAAATAGACTTACCTGCTTTGCGGGTGTTGGTGGTGGCATTGGCAGGTTCTAGGTTTCTAGCGAGGTCTAAGTTGGTATCTTCTCGCCCTTCTCTCTCCTCTGGGATGACCATAGTGGCCTTTTCCCTACAGAAGGAACACAAAGCACCAATGAGAAGTCAACACTTCAACTAAGCACACATGTGCTGATATGTGCTTAGTCAACACTTCAACTAAGCAAATATCAGCACGTAGTAGAACCAAGGTGCTAAAGAAAAAAACAAAAACAAGTTCTGACCTGATGAGATGTTCAAACGCTTTCTTTTCCTTAGACAGAGCTGTCAGGTACTTCTGTTCTTCTGTCGAGCCTCCATAGATGAGGAAATACACCCTAAGTGGCTTTCCAGGCCGGTTAGCTTTGTAGATCTCCAGCTGGCGGACGAAACTCAGCTCAGCATCGTACAGCACCACAAAGCTGGGCTCCACTTCATGCAGCACCCGGGTCAAGCTGTGGGGGTCAGTGCAGCCCTTCAGTGGGTGGATGACAGTCAGCGGCTCCTTTAGGACTCCATAGTAGTCATCTGACGACAGATCTAACTTAAGCTGTTCTTCCTCTCCTTCATTTTCCTCCATCAGGTCGTCCTCGTCCCCGCTGCTTCCCATCACCGCTGCTTCATCCGTCTCCTTCTTTCCCACCATCTGGGTGAGAGTCAGCGACGGCCTGCTTTTGGTTTTCGTGTTCTTTGCGTTTTTTTTCTGCGCGGGTTCCTTCCCTTTGGCTACTTTTTTGACCCGGCCTTTTCCCTTGTTCAGTAAGTCCAGCTCCAAGGCAGCCACTGCAGAAGAGTCCCGTTTGCCGATTGTGCGGGTGTACAGTCGGTTGAGCAGCCAATCAGAGCCGTGCTTGATGTACTGGTGCAGCTGGGCACAAGTCCGGTCATCACTGGCACAAATGAGCACCCGACCTGAGGGTGACATGTTAGGAGGTTACACAAGATGTAGCCACACCAAGGTTATGCACAATGAATAAAAATCCTATACATCACCGATCTGCACTGGCCAAACTTTACTTCACTCATGTAATCATCCTATCACTGACCATCAGCTGTTATTCTTTTTTTTTTTTATCAAAGCTTAACAATTTTGTTTCCCTGGTAGAGTTTAGAGCTTTGATTAAAAGATAGGAAACTGAAAAGTGCAATTACTATTCCTGTGCTGGATTTTATGTATGCTTTCCCCCCTTGGTTGTTTTAATGGGCTTTATGTTTGTCTCATGTCTGCTCGATTTTATCATTTTTGGTAACTTTATAATCGTGTGCCTTCCTGGTCAGGCCTCCCTCCGAAAGACATTTTAATCTCAAGCAACTTCCTGAATAAACAAAAGTTCAATCATAAAAAGTACACAGGTGTGCCTTGGGCTGAACTACTTGCAAAACCATTCAATTGCGTTTTTATGTGTTTTTGTGGTCTATAGGATATGCAACAAGATACATCTGTACTAGTATTGTTTTAAAAATCACAACATATACAGAATAATATCAACTTTAAAGTTAACCTGACTAGTTTACTCATTTAAAAAACTACCTGTTTAGTTCCCATTTATCAATGTGTGGCATGTGGTTACAATCATAACACAGAGAGGTGACGTTTACGAGCCTCAGCAGCTGTATCATGCCCATTTATAGTAATCTGAATGGTGTACTATCTGACGAATGTTTACACTGCAAACAGCTTTGCCAATCAGTTATTTCAGATAAGATTAGCCTGAAAGACAAACAGGATGGACTACTTCATAACCTGAATAGCTGGTTCTTAGGTTTTCATAGGATTACTTTAAACCTGTGCAATGAGCTTGCAAGTTTGACTCCAACAACTGTTTATGAGCTGCTGGAAAGATACTGCACGTGAAACGATTGTCCGTGTAAAACAAAAAAACACGTGTCACTTTGCTGGGCTTTGTTAGACACAGAAAGACTTTGAGCCAACTTTATTTTATTTTTTATTTTTTTAAGCATAAAAATATAAAGAATGTTGTAAAAACCAGAATGCAAAAGGCAAATTCAGCAGGCAACAGCAAAGCTTGTTGTGTTGTTTTGCCAGCTTTTGCCAGCCATCAATGGCAACAAGCTGAAACTTGCACATTCGACAGTTTATTAACACACTGTTAATAAGCAACTTACAATCAAACTTCCGGCTCTTGTGACCCGAGCAGTGCGCTCTTTTTCTCACAGTTCAACCAACAACATTGATAGCTGCATTCCTTTTAGATGTGGCAATAAGCAATGTGATCATGACAGCACAAACAGGACCAAAGCTGCATTCCTGCTCAATGAACGTTGGTTAAGGGAACTAACAACTAACAACTTGCTCCATTTAGATCGACCTGCAACATAAACTATGCAAACATCACTTTCTCTGTGTGACTGACGGGTAATGTAATGAATCGTTCTTCGTCACACTCTGCACACTTCCCCTTTAAACTGAGCATTTTTACACATAATTCTGTGCATCTACGCCAGTCAATCAGAACTCCATTTATTCCTATGGGAATGTGTAATCTCCGGTGTGCTCGTATGTTTTATTTTTCCTGTCTCCATCATGCTGAAACTTTAATGGTGGATTCAAGGACCACACTGTGCACCTGGAAGTTGTGAAAATGAATAAGCTAACAGGCTGATACATTGCTTGACTATGTGACTAAGTTATGGAAATGCACAATTTAAAACTATTTCAGCTCTGTGATGTACAGAGCGCATGTATATTGATTCATGCATCTTGTAACGAAATGTTGCACGAAAGTGTAAACAAAGGAGGTGATCTACAACACCTCTTATCATGTACTTATAATGCTGTCTTGAGATCTCGTCCCAGAAAGTTTCACCGCATGTTACGTCATCCCTGACCTGGCAGCTTCACAACCAATCACACCTCGAGGCATGCAGGTCTTGGGTTGTTGACGGGCCATTAGCTGTGTGATTTGGGGGTGACTATACATATCTGGGGTTCACCATCAGTAAGTTAGAACTGAAGAAGCCTCTCGGATGAGAGGTGAAACATCTTCAAGAACCAAAAAGAGCAGCTCAGTTGCTTTTAGCTGAAGCTCTTGGGATTACCATGACTTCTAGGCCAAATAATCTACACAGACTTTTTTGGTCATGCAGTATTGTTCCTGATTCTGTTGCAGTAACGCTTCATGCACGTAATTTATTAAACTGGATGTTGAGAAACTGAAAAAATGTGCCTCTCTCTTACGGGTGCACTGAAGTTTCCATGAATACACACACACAAAAAAAAAAAAAGATTCCGATGCTTTGAACACCAGACAGGGGACACATTTCGTATATTATACTGTATTACGGATACCAAAAACGAAGCTCGGAGGACACCAGGGAGGTGATTGAAACACACCTTAAGGCCTTCAGCGTGTGCATCTAAATGGAATTCACACTGATTGGTAAACACTACGGCTTTTCCCGCTAGGACAAGTCTAATATTCTACAGTGATAAAGACCTGTTCCATATTCTGTATTTAATCCAAATTCACAGCGACTGCTTTGCCTCTCTGCGTACAGATGGACTGTCAAATACTGTACAGCTTCACAGCAGAAGCACAAAGCAGTGAACCAGATCAGCCCACCCTGAGGACGGCTTCAGCTTTGAGAAACGTCAGCTATGCTTAGTGCTCCGGTTGTACATTTAAAATATGATTCAACATGAGGATTTCACCCTTTTTATGTGCTTTTTCTGTAATGAGCTACAATCAAGTTGCCCAAAGCTCACTTCAATTTAGCAAAACTACCTTTTGGAATCTAAAGTGTGAAATTCTCTTGTCATAGTACATTTGTAAATTCACAGATTTAACTGCACTGTTGACGTGCCAGACTGTTATAGCAGTTTAACAGCACTGACCTGGTTCGTGTTGAGAGCTCTTGTTCTCCCTCTCGATCTCCTCCAGCACCTCAGTCAGAGCCTCCCACTTTGGGCTCTTCTCCAGCACCAGCTCCCGCCTCACCTCTGAAACCCACACACAGACTGAGCCTTTAGTCATTTCAACGTGAATACACACACAAGCATTTAATATTTCGGATATCTGCTCTGAAGAACACGTTGTCAGAGATCTGCTCATTGGTCTGTCACCTGAGGCAGTGGTTGGCTTCTGTTTCTCTGCCTCTGCTCCCACTTTGAGTTTCTTTTTGCTCTCAGGGATGCGGTACACTCTGCTCCTAGCGTTCACAAACATGGAGGTGCTGGAGTCCAGGAACAGCCAACCTGGACAGTCACAGCAGAGCATGTGCAATCAGACAGAGAAACAATATAACACTTTTTGTTTTACTCCAAATACCTCTAATTAAGTACACGTAGTTCACCTGAATTGGAGCCAAAGTTCTTCTGGCTGGAGCGGAGTGACTCGAGCAGATTGAGGAAGGTGACACAGTCGTACTGGGTGAGGTAGAGCAGGAGAACCCTCAGCACCTTCAGATCCTGGACCAGGGCTTTGGTCTTTGCTCCCAGCTGATGCCACAGGGGGTCCAGGTAGTGACGGATAGTCTGGATGGGAGTGAAACATAACCTTTACAAAAATAAGTATTCATCTCCTTTAACGGTTGTTAACAAGGTATTACAAGGTGCGTCAGAAAAGTTCCAGGACTGGTGTCACAAAAGTTATACTTCAAACCCAAACTACAAACTACCAGTTTTCTCCTTCAGATGATCAACCAGCACGCCTACAAAGAGATCCTGCGGCGTTCGCTTTGTTCAGTGTGTGAGAAGAGTTGAGAGTTGTGGCAGGACAAGTCGTGGCTGCTTCACCATGACAACGCACCTGTTCACAATGCCCTGAGCATCCCACAGTTCCTGGATGAGAAGAACATCGCCGTGCTGGAGCAACCTCCCTACTCACCCCACCTGGCTCTGTGGGATTTGTTCCTCTTCCCCAAACTCAAGGGGGTCATCAAGGGGACCTGCTTTGAAGACGTGGACGACATCAAGATGGCTGTGACGATGGAGCTGTGGAGGATCCTGGAAGAATCCTTCTAGGAGTGCATGGCGGCGTGGCAGAGAAGGCTGGGAAAGTGTGTTAGACTCCAGGGGGATTACTTGGAAGGAGAAAACTTGTAGGTTGGATTTGAAATATTTCTTTTGTGACACCAGTCCTGAAGCTTTTCTGACACACCGCATACAGCTACACTTATGTTGTTATAGGATCTATGTTTGCTATTTATATTCAGTTTTTTCTTTAAACACTGCAAAAAAAATCTGTATTCGAATAAATCTGGTATGTTGAGACACTACTTCAACATGGATATTCATCTGGTTAATCTGTCATAGAGTATGTATCAGTAACACACTGATAGACCTTTTCAAATGCGTTTCCTAGCGTGTTCTCTAGCGAGAGGTCCTCAGCCTCTAATGTGGGGTTGTAGCGCTTCAGTTCCTTCAGACAGGCACTCATGATGTCCATGATGGAGCTCTGGATGGCCCTCATAGCCGGCGTTAATGACACGTGGAGCTCCACCACGTCTGGCTTGTGCCTGTCCAGCACTGTGTTCACTGAAGCCTGGAACCTGTTGAATGAAGCACAACATGAAGACGGATGAGTGAAGAACGCAGCTATTCATGTGACTAATAAAATAAAATATGTGAAATAAAATGTCTGCTGTGAAATAAGCTCACAGTACCTGGGCCACAGGTAGAGCTTCTTGACAAAGAGGTTCCTCATCACACGCTCCACTTGGCAGAAGCCTGAGGAGAAAGCCGTGGCCTTGTCAGTGAAGGCCTTAATGAAGCCCGTCTTGTTCTTCTGTCTGAACAGACGAAGGATGAAGGCCTCCTGACATGACTCAATTATTTTATGGGCACGATACACCAGGATACCTAAAGGGTGGTGACACAAAAAGACATAGGTTTATTTACCTTTACAACAACATCAGCTTTAACCAATCTCTTATTTTCAGCACCACTTTTTCGTTACTCAGCTGACTATAACTGAATACAGATCTGCCTATTTGCTCTGTTAGGAATATCAGAAAAATACTGAAATTGGTTTTAGCTGTTGTCTCTTTTGTTGGTCCTAATATTAACAGACATGTCAATGAACTCTTATGTGACAGCGTGCTCCAATGAAGTGCTTAAAAATGTTTGTAGAGAGGGCTACCGTTCACATCTGGATCATGGATTTTGCCTTTAAGAAAACAAATTTTCCTTCATAAATCAATAGAACAGCAACATAATAAGTGAACGAGTTATTAAAGCTGTTTAAAAAGTACAATTTATTTAATTTTATTGATAACTCACAAGTGCATTGTATTATTAAAGGAACAGTAATGCCTCTTGAATGCATTTCAGCCTTTTACATACCTTTGTATGGTTTATAGTCCTAAATCTAGTGTGGTCTAAGTATTGTAATAGGTTTTAACTAATCCTCCTGATTCCTGTCAATGTTTCATGTTCACGTGTATTCAGCCAAGCAAAGGCTTCAACATTTATTTAATTACTATTATTCCAATTTCTTGCCCTTTTAATCATGTATTGATTGCAATAGTGTGTACTTTTGATTATATATATTCAGTAATGTCTTCTGTTGGCTGGTGCTGTGTGTCCATATGTGTTTACAGGTCTGTAGAGTCAAAGTGGCCAATAAAGCATGTGTCGAGTGATTATAAGATGAAAATACACAAACAAATACTGTGAGGTAATTGAGACTAGTAACTGTTAGTGCTGAATAATGTGCAACAAAACAAACATGGCTCTCATTTTACGAGGTACCAGCCAGTGTCTGACCTGATATAAGGTGAGCGGGGATGCGGTCAGTGAGGAAGTCCACCACCAGGATTCTGCTGGTGACAAACAGCACCCCTCCCTCAGTGTAGACGTTGTAACGCTCAGCGCTCTGGACATCACTGGTGACCGTCCTCGGCAGGTGGGTGACGCCCTCCACTCGCAACTGCTCAGTGAAATACTCCTGAGAAGGAAAGACGAGAAAGAACCACTTTTGTAAAGTCCCTCTACAAATCAGCTTTTACAAGCTCATCTCTGTGTATCAAAGTTAGGTATTAAAAAGTTTTTTTTTTTCCATGAAAATAATCCCTTTCTCAAAATGTCTGAGATGTAGTTCTACACTCTTGTTTCCTCTAGAATGTGTAGATGTATGAAGTCCCTGTTTCTTTCTTTAATCATGCTATTAAACTTTGTGCAGCTGAGTTGGAAAGAATGGTTCAACTGTAAAAGTATTCTACGCTACACAATGGAAAGTTGGAATATTGGAGCAATTCTGCCATAAATGTTTGAATCAGAAATTGATTCCTAAGAAGAATAATGATACAGAAAGGCCCATCCTGTAAGCTGACAGGATTGGTTCCTTAGGTTTGTTTAACCTGCTCAGTCATGCCACTGACTATTACTTATTACATTATGTCTTCCAGCACATAAAAACACCAGACATGTCAACAAGGTAAAAAAAAAAAAGTCTTGATTTTCCTGTTCAACACAACTTTACACACTGAGAAAAGGTAAAACTCTGAATGTTGATACCCCAGAATCATGTATAATATTTACCTTCTTGTCCAGTGTAGCATTTAGGTCCAATACACAGTAATGCTGTGACAAATCCTAAGAAGACTAATGAAGATGTGAAAAGGGGGAACTGCACTGGGTCAAGAACAGCAAAGCTGGTAGATTAAACATGAAGAAAATACATTATAAGGGGCTCTTTGAGGATAGGGACGGGAGTCAGTAGAGATGAAAAATAAGAACTGACTTATATTAGTAGAGGTGCTCAATATTGAGTCCAGTCCAGAGTATCAAAGGCACAATAAATATGAAGTTAATTTACACATTTTCATACATTCATTAATGAATTAAGAGCTCTAGTAAAAAGCAACTGGACTTCTGTTTTTGTTCTTAAAGACATTTCACTTCTCATCCAAAATGCTTCTTTAGTTTTTCAATCCAGATGCTTGTAACTAAAGCTCTCATGCTAACCACGACCTGGATGACTGACCATCTACACCGTCACCTGTTTCCATGGCTGAAGACTCTCTGATGAAAACTAAACATCTTATCCATGTATTGATAAAGGATTTCTATATTTAAAATCAGAATGCCTCAGACACTCTTTAGACCGCCTATAAAAACCAATGGACTTCCACTAATAGGCCTAAACAGTTAAATTAAATATCATCAAAAACAAAGTACGGCCAAGTGCAATATCCACAACGCAGGATTCTGTGAGTTTTTTCTAAAATTTATCACAAGATACCATTATAAATAAACAAAGCACTGTTGTGTTATAACGATGCTCTGACAAACAAATCGGATTTTATTGACATTTTTGTTTGGTGCAAACTGAAGCAAAACTCTCATTATCATTTTCATATTTGCTACAGTGATAAAGAAATGTAAAAATGACCATTCTTGGTAAAAGTGTGACTTTTATCGCAATTATAATATATGTTAAAAGAACTGCAATATGACTTTCTTGCATCTTGTTCAGCCCTAATAAGCAGTGAGACAGTCTTTATTTTTCATCTCTCCTAAACAGACTTTTCTGCTAAAAAGGGGAAAGGCAGGTTTGACTACAAGTTACAATTCTACATGTATTACCTATAAAACGCTTGTCCTTCCCTGAAGTGTGACAACACTGCTGTCTGAGATCATATCAAACACAAAGGCAGGTTTAATACCGTGGTGTTAGTGACAAACAGGATATCGTGTGATGCTCTGTTGCTTCAGTTATGTAAATTGCTGGCAGGACCACACCAGCTTGTTGTTGTTATTGTTTTTTTGTCACCCTGTCTTTGCACAAAACAACAGGTGTCATGACAAAAAGTGATCATGTGCCAAAAAACTGAGCATTTAAGCTGTACCACCCGCTTTATACTGCTTTAATCTGAATCAAGCAGTCATAACGTGTAAATACACACAATTTTATAGGCAGTGATAGCAAAACTGTGTCTTTGTGGAACTTTAAACTGAACAATTACAGCCAAAAGAGAGAAAAAAGCTGCATTTCTCATGTAATCAAGTCATTTAGACTGATTTTAAGCAACACTATTGTATTGTTTTAATGTTTAGATTGTGTGTTTGTTTGCTCTGTGGGTTTGTCTAATAATCGTGTTTGGGCATGATTTGCAGAAGTGTCTTCTGGGCTACAGTTCTTCAAATATTACCCTCAAGAATGAAATCAGGTCCTTTTGATGCATCAACAACATTTCAGACACTGTGTAGGAGCTGCAGTCTCTCTTGACAGGTGCTAAAGTGTATTATATGAGTTGAACTGGTCCTTTAAAGTCATTTTAAACCGTTAAAAACGAGGCTGGTTGTAATGTAGGGCACATAGCAGGAAAATTAATACAGAAACATAAGAATAACAGTAAAATAGATGCTTTGTTTACAACCGTTTGACCCAGATAAAGTCCACATTAGCTCCCTTGCTAGCACCAATCATCTAGCAACGGCTGAGGCGTTCACAGGACATGTGTAGCATGCTAAGCTAACCTGTTCAGGAGTGGTTGTGTTGAGCAGGAGGACCAGGCTGCCCTGCTCCGAGTAAACCCGCATGAACTGCAGCAGGATGCGGTCGACCCCCATCCCCTCAGCCACCACCAGCAGCCCGTCACAGCCGAACAGGTTCAGGAACATCTCGGTCTCAAACTCCAGCAGCGGCCCCGCCATGTTGGAGGTAACTGAAGTGTCCCCAAGTCCCTAAAGTCACCGAGCTGGCCCTTACTGCCGGCGATAAGTGTTGCTTAAAAGGCAAAAAGAGTCATTGTGATGTGGAAAAGCAGATGCTCCTGTCCGCTATTCAGTGTTTTGAAACCGCACTTCCTGCGGTGACGCTAAAAACAAACGTGGAGGAGAGGACAGTGAGTGGTGCGTTCAGGGACCACAGCGCCATCAGGTGACAGGGGGAGTAATTGCAGTTATCCGTCTGTCTGTTATTATGTGCTAAAGAACAAAACTAGTAGCTCTCTAAGTGCCACATCTTGTGGAAAAAAACATAATGAACGAAAATGTAAACACAGGATTTACAAGTTTAGCAAGTTGTGTGCATTATTTTTAACATATGTTGCTACAACCAAACGTGCACATCAAGTTATTTAATTATAAGTCTGTAATTCATTGTTTACACTTATGATAAAATGTTGTCGTATACAGGCAGCTACAGGTAATATTAATTACTGTGGATACATTGTATAAATGCAGTATATTAAAAGAAATTCTAAACATATTAAACCGTAAACCTCACATTCAACTGTCTTGAGTACTGAGATCAACTATACAGGAATTAACTGTGAAAATGCAGTAAAAATACAAGAGTCATGTACTGCACAGACCTCTGTATTGTGTGTGGATAGCAATGAGTTTACCAGTGCTTTAGATTAGAGCTTTCTGCTTCAGTTTTCATTGTAATATTATTGGAAGTGTCTTAATATGATACCATGATGTGTAGGCTTGATGTATGAAGTCTGTCAGGTGCGGGTTTTCCCTTTTGATAAAACCTTCCACAGCAACACACTCATTCACTTGATATTTAACTCGAGTGTGTCATTGTGTGTTTCTCAGGGATTCCTGGTGTAATCGTGGCACTCTTTTTGGGAGTGAAGAACTTCAAACAGTTTTAAGGGATTACGCAGATAACCATGACTGACACTAACCAAACTACCCCGATGTAAGTAAATTCTCACTGCGTGTTGCCAGACTGCAAGCATTGTCCTTCCTAACAATATGAATGCTAAGCCAGGTTATTATCATGATAAGATCCATCACAAAATATATGCTGGGGTTGATATGTACATTTCACACCAAAACACTTCATGTCTGGGACACAGAACCCGTCTCCTTCCTGAGCGCTATGATGGCTGGACATTCACATGGCGTTTACACAGACTATAATTGTTTGAACAGATGAATGTGGAACCTTCAGGCATCTGGAAATTGTACCCAAGGATGAACCAGACTTGTGGAGGTCAACAATTCTCTTCCTGATATCTTGGCTGATTTCTTTAGATTTTCCATGTTGTCACAAAAGGAAGCAGTTTGTTTGAGGTGTGCCTTAAAATACATCCACAAGTGTGCCTCCAATTAACTCAAATGTTGTCAATTAACCTATCAGAAGCTTCCAGAGCCATGACATCATCATCTGGGCTTCCCCAAATAGTTTGAAGGCATAATAATCTTCGTGTAAGGAAACTTCTGACTTTAAAGAAAGTGAAAAAAAAAAATTCTCTCTCTCGTTATTCTGGCATTTAGCAAATAGAAATAATTTTGGTAATCCTAACTGACCTAAAACAGGAAAAGTTCAGTCTGACTTACTGTCAGACAGTAAGAAAAAAAAAGGTTATGTGTCTTTTTATACAGCGTATGTGAACTTCTGGTTTCAAAAGTATATATAAAGGCCAGTTCCACACTGATGCTTCAGACACTTGTGATGGGAAAAAAGTCCCTCAGAAATGTTTGCCAGATGTTAAGAGGTGTGTGGGAATTCTGCACAATAATGCATTTTATCCTGCAGATTTTTTTGGTAACCATCTTTAAAGAATTTCCGCTGTGCTTATAAACATCGAGGCCCCAGGATGTATTTAGAAATTCTAAAAAAGACTACACAAGATTGCAGATATGAAAAAAGTTGTAGACCTATTTGTGGCTCCAGAGGAAATAAAAAGAGAGAGCACAGTGTGTTTACGATTGCAGGCAGCATGTTCTTTGGTTTTCATGTTTCTCGGGCTCAGGCCCTTCATCAGGGGGGTCAAAGGTTGCCTTGATGTGGGTGTGAATAAGGGGCCTAATGTGGAAGATTTTGTGTTTATAATTCCTCACGACTGACCTGCCTCTGCCTCATCGTTGTCCTGCAGATGTGAAAGCAGCTGTGTCAAGCTGCATATGTGTAATATACAGAACACCATGTCCACACCTTAAAGTGGATCTTAACTGGGATTATTTAGAATCCAGGATGAAGCAGGTGGAGCAGAGAGGAACCAGAGTAAATCAGAACCTGTCAGCTGGTTAAAAAAAATCTGATTTTTGCTAAGCTGAAGCTGATTTCAGCTCAGATCACAGAGGTCAGAAGCTGCACCTGTTAAACCTCAGGATGCTCACCGGGTGACGCGTAGACCTGTTACTCTATATGTTCTATTTGTGTTTGTTTGTTTTGTAGCTCTTATCTCATTATCTAGAGTGTGTTTTTGTTATCTAAGAAATTACTCTGAAAATGAACTCAGTCTGTTAATACTACAGGATGCAACATTTGTGTACTCAGTGATGATACTATTCTGTGTATTTATCCCTGTTTACAAATAACCAGCAGTGTATTCAAATGCTGTACAGTTTTAGGGCAAGGTGACAGGCATGTTTGAGTTTAAAACATATTGTTTAAGGCAAATATCATTTCCCAGCCATAAAATGTCGTTCTGTGAAATCTAATATCAAAGGAAGTCATAACGTCAAACTTGAAAACAAACAGATACAAAACAAGAGGTTTTGATGTCTTACCTGAGCCGCTGTCTCTTTTTGCAGTTTGATCAGTTCAAATATCACAGATGAACAGTAAAATGAATTGTCTCCAACATCTTTAAATGACGTATGTTCAGTCTGATATTGCATTTAACCACAAGACATTTTATTTACAGTCTGCCGATTTGTTACAAATGTCGACTCCAGCAACCTCCTATAGTCAGGCGGAAAACTTTCAAAACAGGACAGCAGAGGGAGGGCGGACACTCGGCATGCAGGAGACACTGTGGAGGAGGACAGGACGACGACTGCACATCAGAGACAAGGAGATCCAGAACAAGGCAAACCTGCAGAGAGGACAACAAACACAAAATATGAGCGAGAAAAGACAAAAAGTCAGTGACATGCAATGGTGGCATATGAATGAGAGGAGAGAAGAGGTGCATCATGGGAAGTCTTCCAGCAGTCTAGACTTATAGCAGCATAACTAAGAGTAGTGCAGGAACTTTACAACACACACAAAATAATAAAACACACTAGAATTATGTCTCACCTTTTGTGTCACAGTAAAAACCGTCTGTCCTCCATGTTTCTGGATTCACATCTGGGACGGTTCCTCATCTGGTTACTTGTGCTGATCTGATCCTTCTGAGCTCTAAAGAGAACAAAAACAGATCAAACCTTAGTGAGTTGTATTGCATAGGTTCATATCTAATGAGCCAGTTTGCTTCATGGAGTTACCTTGAGCTGTCAGACATGTCTTGTGCTGGTCCTGGATCTGGTTCCATCATTTCCTGAACCCTTCACTCGTCTCTCTTCGTCTGCTGGGCGCTGTGAAGGCGATAAAACACATTTAGATGCTATTTTTCATTAGATTCTGACACCTCTAGATCTCAACAGACAACTACAGACTATTTACTAAACCCTTGTTTAAACATACAGTATGTGTGCTCTCATTCCTATTGAATCACATTTAAATTACCAGTGCATCCTCCACGCTCCCTAAAAGTCATTCCCGTCTCTCGTCTCACTTCTGCTGCTTGTCTCTGGGCATCCTTCTCTCCTCGGTCCCTCGTCTTCGCCTAAGTGCTGGAGTTGCGTCTGGTTTGGTTGGAGGTCCTGGAGTCGTCCCACGTCGGATCTGGAAAAGACAAAGAGAAAAAAACCGGCAGAATCTGTTGCGAAATGTCACAGCGTATCACTGTTACTCTATATGTTCTATTTTTGTTCTTTTTTGTAGCTCTTATCTCATTGTCTAGACTGTGTTTTTGTAATCTAAGAAATTACACTGAAAATGAACTCAGTCTGTTAATACTACAGGATGCAACATTTGTGTATTCAGTGATGATGCTATTCTGTGTATTTATAACTGTTTACAAATAACCAGCAGTGTATTGAAATGCTGTACAGTTTTAGGGCAAGGTGACAGGCATGTTTGAGTTTAACACATATTGTTTAAGGCAAATATCATTTCCCAGCCATAAAATGTTCTCTGAAATTGAAAACCATTGTTGTACAACGTTTACCTTATCTTACTACTAATGCTACAGTTGTTGCTACTCCCCCTTTAACCCCTGTGTGACTCCATCTGAACTCTGCTCCTCATCACTGTGGACTCAGGGTCCAGGGTAGGATGCATACACACACATCGGCCCCCTACGACATGCTGTCTGCATCCTTTTTAACATCTGACAGAGTGGAGTTTCACTGTGAGGGCGTAGCATGCGGGAGGTTTCACGCTATCCCCCCCAGATCCACCCACACCTCTGACAGGTACCCTGACCAGAGTCCCAGCGACAAGGACGGAGTTCAGACGGAGCCACGGAGAGCACAAGCACATAAAATACAGTCAAATATCACACTGTTCAAACCAAATACATAAACTAGAATAAGATCAAATACATT